CCCAATCGTTTCAGTCTTGCGTCATTTATTTCTGTAGTTGGTTTTATTTTGTCAAGGAACATGTTTTTTCAATACTAACATTTCATTTGGTACTGTCCATTTGAGTTTTCTTAAATATTCATCCCTTCTCGGTTCATTGTCTGCAAAGTAAGTTTTTATGACATTTTGTAAACTTTCGTTTGCAAGGTCATGTACAATAGGTTCTCTTCCTTCTCTCTCCCTAACTTTCTTTCTAAACTCTTCACCAAATATACCATCTCTATGGTTCTGTGTAGTTCTTTGAGATAAATGTTCTAGAACGTCAGGTGTTATATTTCCATCAGCCATGTTCATTTCATACTGGTCCAAAATATCTGCATGTTTCATATCTTTCAATGGCATTAAAGCCGCGCTGAAAAATACCAGCTATATCTGGTTCACCATTGACTTCCATTGCGTCTACAACTTCTTGGAATTGTGGTTGTAAGTTTATGAACCACCTATCCGGGTTAGCTTTATGACCCCATCTCATTGTAGTTCCATAGTCTGCAGAAACAAAAGTAGGTTTGTTTCCATCTTGGTTAGGTTCTGAATGAACTTTAAACAATGTTTCATTTCTATATGTTTTGTTGAAATTTAACCTTTTATTTTCACCGAGTTCATCCGAAGATTGAACGTTAAATGCTCGTAAGTAAAAAGGGTTGTTGTATTTGTGTAATTTCTTTCAGTACTTCCATTCTATGCTGAATATTTTCATCTGGTGTTGGAGTCTTTTGTATGTCGGCAAACATTTTTCGATATTCTTCTACTATGTCAGCCGAATTTTTTTTTAGACTCTTGGAAAGATTCCATATTCCCCCTATACTCTTGTTGAGGGTCAAGATTTTTCGGCTGTTCCAAATCTTCATCTAGTTCTGTGAAGTTAGTTTCCAAAGGAGGGACTTGTTCGTTTCCTTCAGGCTCTTCTAGCTGTTGTTGCTGAACTATTTCTTCCATGTCTGGTTGTATCTGAACTATTTTCCTGTGGAGTTTCTTGTACCTCATCTGCTAGGCATTTCATATATTCCGAGACCGTTTTCAACAAGTTCCCTTCTAAGTCATCCGGACATTCAAAACCTTTCTTCTTTCGTTCCGTCTCTATTTTTTACGCGTTTCATGAAGAGAGTTAATTGTCATTTAGCTCTGACACAAATATCTCGGAGTAAATTCGTTCATGTCATTTGGATGATAGCTATTAAATCATATCCCTTAGCGAGCTTGTATTTTCCAGGTTTGAGATTATATCCGATTTGGTGCAGAGCCATAAAGCTAAATAGGTTCGGGTCAGATTTTCCTTCATTGAACTTTCTAATAGCTTCTTTATATCTGTCACTAAGTCAATAGTATCTGGGTAACCATATCTCTTCCTTAAGCATTTTTAAGAATTCTTGGTTTCCTTGTTCTCTACTTCTTTTATGTCCTTGCTCTGTTTGTGGTTGTTGTTGTGCAGGGTTTTGAACTGTTGGTTGCTGTGCTGGTTGTGGAGGTGGTTGTTGTGCAGGGTTTTGAACTGTTGGTTGTGGAGGTGGTTGTTGTGCAGGGTTTTGAACTGTTGGTTGCTGTGCTGGTTGTGGAGGTGGTTGTTGTGCAGGGTTTTGAACTGTTGGTTGTGGAGGTGGTTGTTGTGCTGGTTGTTGTGCTGGATTTTGAACTGTTGGTTGCTGTGCTGGTTTTGGTGCATGCCTGTGTCTGTGTCCATGTGACGATGTAAATGTGTTAGGTAGTCCTGGTGCAGGTGCTTCTCTTGGAGGGTTTGGTGGTATATAAGTTCCACTAGCTAGTATATAAGTTCCACCAGCTGGTACATAAGTTCCACCAGCTGGCACATATGTTCCATCTGCAGCGTAATGTCCTACCTGACTTTTCGTTTTTAAGAAAGCATTTACTAGGTCTGTTTTGGTCTGTTGTAACTCTTTTTCTTGACTTTTCACAACAGTTGCTCTAACGGCGTCATAGGCACTTTGAACTGCCTGTCTCGTTGCTGTATCTGTTATTTTCGTCATATTTTGTGCTACTTCTCTTAACTCTTTGTCGAAACCTTCAGACTTCAGTTTCTTTCCAGATGAGAAATCGTTCACTAGTTTCACCTTACTATGAAGAGCTTCGAAGGCGTTCTTAAAGTCAGCATTTGTTAAAGCTTCATTTGAACTGTCTTCATCCGCTTGTATTTTTGTCCTTATTGACCCTATGAGTTGGGCTGCTTTAGCGTTGGCTTGGGCATCTAACCAGTCATTGTTAGCTTTTATATATTCTGCGCTTTTCATTGCCTTTTGCATGGCTGCGTCGTTATTTTTACTTTCTTGTGCTAAGTTTTCATACTGTACGGTTTGGTTTTGCAACTGTAAAAGTTTTTCTGCCTTTACATTTGCTTCAACTTCTTTTTTATACTCATGGCTATCCATATATGTCTTCAGGGCTTTTTGTTTTATTTCTTCATCTTTCAGTACTTTATATCGAGTAGTATGGTTTTTCAAATTTAAAACATCTTGTTCCATTTTTGCTACTTCTGCTGCTTTTTCTGACACTTTTTTCGCATATTCCTCTGTACTTAGTTCTTTCAGTTGTTCTTCTTTCTTCTTTTTTCTACGTTTAACTCATTGAGTTTCTTTGTGTGTCTGTCATATTCTAGTTTCTTTTCGTTTTCACCTATTTGCTTCTGTATGTCTATGTTTGACTTTTTGACATCTGCTATTTGATTTTTGAGTGAACTCAAATTCATTTGACTTTGAGGGTTATAGGCTGTTCCGTCTGCAGCTCCACCATAGCCTGCCATTTTCGCTAAAAGTGCCGCTCTTAAACCTCCACTCTGTGCACCAACAACTCGGTTTAAAAGCATAGGATTGCTTGACATTTGTTGCAACATAGTGGGGTCATTCAGCATTTGTTGTTGCAACTGTTGTTGTGGTGTCAGTTTTACTATTGGATGTTTCAATGCTCTCTTCCTCTTACGTATATTCTTACGTAGCTTACGTGGCATTTTAAGTGAAGTTAAAAAGCGGTTTTATACTAAACATCTTCAGGGCTAGAGGGCGCAACGCGCCTGGAAGCCCCACTCCCTTTTTTTTTGTACCTGGTTTAATTAAGCTAATTGTCATCAGAAACTTGTAATTTTTATGAATTTCAGATTTTCTTTTCATTACTGCTTTTCTTAATAGGTCAAGTTCTTATTTACGTTATAAAGTATGATATTTACAAATATCAAGTTATCATGTTTTTTGAGAAATTATGAGAAACAAACAAAAATGAAAAAGATAGGAATAGCAATGAATAGTGATGTGGGTATAGAAAATGTAAGAGATATGAATGCAAAGCAATCAGTATTTAGGATATTGACCATAGATTTCGAAAAAAAAATGCTGCATATTGAGCGAAAACTATGATTATATTATAAGGCTGTCATTTAAAGCATAATGAAACTATTCCCTTTTCATTTTAATCGAATAAGATAGTAAAGATTTTTGAATTAGCTAGAAACTGATGAGATGTTTTCACAAATCAGATTTTGAATCTTTATAATGCATAATTCACTCAATATCTCAATTTTGATATTGCGAGATATTTTTGCTATCGGTTTCGCAATTTGGACACAATAGCAAGAGGGTTCTATAAGCATTATTATCAACGTAGAATCTGAATAAAAAAAAGGTATTGGGGCTTCCAGGCGCGTTGCGCCCTCTAGCCCTGAAGATGTTTAGTATAAAACCGCTTTTTAACTTCACTTAAAATGCCACGTAAGCTACGTAAGAATATACGTAAGAGGAAGAGAGCATTGAAACATCCAATAGTAAAACTGACACCACAACAACAGTTGCAACAGCAAATGCTGAATGACCCCACTATGTTGCAACAAATGTCAAGCAATCCTATGCTTTTAAACCGAGTTGTTGGTGCACAGAGTGGAGGTTTAAGAGCGGCACTTTTAGCGAAAATGGCAGGCTATGGTGGAGCTGCAGACGGAACAGCCTATAACCCTCAAAGTCAAATGAATTTGAGTTCACTCAAAAATCAAATAGCAGATGTCAAAAAGTCAAACATAGACATACAGAAGCAAATAGGTGAAAACGAAAAGAAACTAGAATATGACAGACACACAAAGAAACTCAATGAGTTAAACGTAGAGAAAAAGAAGAAAGAAGAACAACTGAAAGAACTAAGTACAGAGGAATATGCGAAAAAAGTGTCAGAAAAAGCAGCAGAAGTAGCAAAAATGGAACAAGATGTTTTAAATTTGAAAAACCATACTACTCGATATAAAGTACTGAAAGATGAAGAAATAAAACAAAAAGCCCTGAAGACATATATGGATAGCCATGAGTATAAAAAAGAAGTTGAAGCAAATGTAAAGGCAGAAAAACTTTTACAGTTGCAAAACCAAACCGTACAGTATGAAAACTTAGCACAAGAAAGTAAAAATAACGACGCAGCCATGCAAAAGGCAATGAAAAGCGCAGAATATATAAAAGCTAACAATGACTGGTTAGATGCCCAAGCCAACGCTAAAGCAGCCCAACTCATAGGGTCAATAAGGACAAAAATACAAGCGGATGAAGACAGTTCAAATGAAGCTTTAATGAATGCTGACTTTAAGAACGCCTTCGAAGCTCTTCATAGTAAGGTGAAACTAGTGAACGACTTCTCATCTGGAAAGAAACTGAAGTCTGAAGGTTTCGACAAAGAGTTAAGAGAAGTAGCACAAAATATGACGAAAATAACAGATGCAGCAACGAGACAGGCAGTTCAAAGTGCCTATGACGCCGTTAGAGCAACTGTTGTGAAAAGTCAAGAAAAAGAGTTACAACAGACCAAAACAGACCTAGTAAATGCTTTCTTAAAAACGAAAAGTCAGGTAGGACATTACGCTGCAGATGGAACATATGTGCCAGCTGGTGGAACTTATATACCAGCTGTTGGAATTTATATACCACCAAACCCTCCAAGAGAAGCACCTGCACCAGGACTACCTAACACATTTACATCGTCACATGGACACAGACACAGGCATGCACCAAAACCAGCACAGCAACCAACAGTTCAAAATCCAGCACAACAACCAGCACAACAACCACCTCCACAACCAACAGTTCAAAACCCTGCACAACAACCACCTCCACAACCAGCACAGCAACCAACAGTTCAAAACCCTGCACAACAACAACCACAAACAGAGCAAGGACATAAAAGAAGTAGAGAACAAGGAAACCAAGAATTCTTAAAAATGCTTAAGGAAGAGTATGGTTACCCAGATACTATTGACTTTAGTGACAGATATAAAGAAGCTATTAGAAAGTTCAATGAAGGAAATTCTGACCCGAACCTATTTAGCTTTATGGCTCTGCACCAAAGGGGATATAATCTCAAACCTGGAAAATACAAGCTCGCTAAGGGATATGATTTAATAGCATATCATCCAAATGACATGAACGAATTTACTCCGAGATATTTGATGTCAGAGCTAAATGACAATTTAACTCTCTTCATGAAACGCGTAAAAAATAGAGACGGAACGAAAGAAGAAAGGTTTGTGAGTCCGGATGACTTAGAAAGGGAACTTGTTGAAAACGGTCTCGGAATATATGAAATGCCACCAGATGAGGTACAAGAAACTCCACAGGAAGAAATAGTTCAGATACAACCAGACATGGATGAAATAGTTCAGCAACAACAGCTAGAAGAGCCTGAAGGAAACGAACAAGTCCCTCCTTTGGAAACTAACTTCACAGAACTAGATGAAGATTTGGAACAGCCGAAAAATCTTGACCCTCAACAAGTGTATGCGGAGAATATGGAATCTTTCCAAGAGTATAAGAAAAATTCGGCTGACATAGTAGAAGAATATCGAAAAATGTTTGCCGACATACAAAAGACTCCAACACCAGATGAAAATATTCAGCATAGAATGGAAGTACTGAAAGAAAATGTACACAAATACAACAACCCTTTTTACTTACGAGCATTTAACGTTCAATCTTCGGATGAACTCGGTGAAAATAAAAGGTTAAATTTCAACAAAACATATAGAAATGAAACATTGTTTAAAGTTCATTCAGAACCTAACCAAGATGGAAACAAACCTACTTTTGTTTCTGCAGACTATGGAACTACAATGAGATGGGGTCATAAAGCTAACCCGGATAGGTGGTTCATAAACTTACAACCACAATTCCAAGAAGTTGTAGACGCAATGGAAGTCAATGGTGAACCAGATATAGCTGGTATTTTCAGCGCGGCTTTAATGCCATTGAAAGATATGAAACATGCAGATATTTTGGACCAGTATGAAATGAACATGGCTGATGGAAATATAACACCTGACGTTCTAGAACATTTATCTCAAAGAACTACACAGAACCATAGAGATGGTATATTTGGTGAAGAGTTTAGAAAGAAAGTTAGGGAGAGAGAAGGAAGAGAACCTATTGTACATGACCTTGCAAACGAAAGTTTACAAAATGTCATAAAAACTTACTTTGCAGACGATGAACTGAGAAGGGATGAATATTTAAGAAAACTCAAATGGACAGTACCAAATGAAATGTTAGTATTGAAAAACATGTTCCTTGACAAAATAAAACCAACTACAGAAATAAATGACGCAAGACTGAAAGATTGGGTAAAAGCTTTCCCATTCACAAAAGATATAGTTGGTAACATGGAAAGAAAACCAGAATGGCTACAAAACATATATTTGGAAACGAGCTTATTCCTATGGACAGGCACTGTTGAAGAGCTTGAACCGGAAACTCAGGAAAGAGTCATGCAAACAATAAGCAAAGACTCAAATACAAACTATGACAAACTCTTTCTAGGATATAGGTTACCTGAGATGGGCGACCAGAGCCCAAAGGCAAAAAAGACATGGGAAATTTGCAACATACTAGATGAACATGAGGCGCAAAGATGCAACAACTTGAAGCAGAGGGCAAGTTACCAAAAGCGACACCAAAGAAGAAGAGAAGAGTAGAACAAAGTGAAAGTAGTGAAGAAGTAACTTCATCTAGTGAAAGTAGTGGCAATGAAGGAAAAAGAAGAGTTAAAAACTCAGTCAGGAAGAAAGTAAAGCTTGGTCCACGTGGGTTCTATTATGACATATAAATCCAACTATTCTATATTTTTACCCATATGAAATGTACGCCGCTCAGAATATAACGCCAACAGTTTTGGATGCCATGAATGGAAATGTTTCCGAATGGTATAACGAATGCGACAATGCCATTAGAAGGTCAGAAATAGTTCCTGGAACTTACGAATATACAACTGCTGTTTCTTATGGAAACGTAGGTGAGTTTGGAGAAGGTTCTTCAACAACAGTAGATATTGCTTGCGACAGGTTTCATATAATTTCTATTGACAACTCATTCTTATACGTGGAACAAGACATTGAAATAAAACCTTCTGCCAAGTTGTCTGACAAGAAAGGTTGCAATGGAATTTTCTATGTCGGATACCAATATGCTCCAGAAGTTTTTTATGGGATATAAGATATATTCTAACTCTGACTTAGTTCAAACAGTAACATGGGCAAACTATGAATGGTTCGCTTTGAGAAACTCAGTACAACCACAAGCTAGAGAACAAACAGACCAGTATGCAACTATTGAGAAAATAAGAAGACTTGACCCTAACGTTCCAGGAGTTTATGTTACCTTTCTGGACAAACTGCAGCAGCAGTAACCAAAGTAAAACTGAAACTTAGAGTTCCTTTGTCATCTTTCCTCATCTTCAGGTTTTTAAGATACTTGCCAAACTGGGCAGGAAAAATTTCTATCGAACTACTCCAAGCAAAAATAACTTAGTCATTGCACCAACACAAGACCCATTCACTCTTACAGACGTAAAGGGAGCAAATCAAACGTCATTCGCCGAATTTTGCAAAGACAAAGTTGACTTAGACTTTGGTTTCTCAAACCTCAACACTGAAGTAAACTACTACTTCAATGCTGCTGGAACTGCTTGGGACCCAGTTAAGTTCACATGCGAAAAATTTGAATGCAAGAGAATAGAAAGCAGACTTGCAGTCTATATGTTGGACCCAGATATTTCAAATGCTTTAGCTGCCAAAATATATTGCAGTTCCACTTATGTTCCCTATACACCAAATATCTGTCAAAGACTTTGCAGGTGAAGTTGGAAACCAAAGTGCTGACCCAGGTGCAAGAACAGATATTGCCTTAACAACTGCAATGAAACATGCAGATACTATGTTTGTACTGTTCAGACGAACTATAAATGACTATTCTTGTTTCTACAACCCCGGTATTAAATATCATATAAACATAGATGGCAAATATTATCCAAGAGAAGAATATTCCACAGTTGAGGATATGAGGTCATACAACTTGACATTAGATGCTATGAACTTTAACAACAACTTCACAACAACCATTAACCCTGAAATGCAAAGTTCTATTATGCCATATGTGAAAGTATGGACTCATACAGGAGGTCAAAACACTCAATATACAAATGGAGACCGTTCAAACTTTTGGCTTGGCATTCCATTTGCTGACTCAGAAGACTTTATGGGTGGTATTTCAACTGTTGGTACAGTTCAAATACCAATATACTGGTGACAGAGACGGTCCAGATGAATTGAAAGCAAAGAAGTTTACAAAACCAATAGCACTTTTCACAGAAGATGCTCTTTTGAAGATTCGTTCGATGAAACCTGCTGGGGCTCCTCAGATTGGTATAACGACAGCTTCCATCGAGCAGATTTTGGCAGCAGGTCAGTAAGTTGTTCTTGAACTGACTTCTCTCCGTCAAATATTGACAGTACGCCAGTTTTGATATAATATTGTATTAAAAACTTACCTTTAGAAATATCGTCAGTTTTGTTGTTATATTTTTGTCTGCTTCAAGAACTTTCACCATCTCGGTTATACCAACTTTCTTTGCTTTATGAAAATATTTTGGTTCAGCAAAGACTGCTATTCTATAACATTTTCCATTGTTTGTGTAAAGAAACTACTGTCAATGAACTTGTATTGTTTGTGTGTGTAAACTTTGTTTTGCTTCAATTCGAAGAGATACTCAAATACGTCCATCTTTTTATTCTAAGTAAAATGTCATTTCCGAAAAATAGAAGCGTAAGTGTTTCAAAAGGTTTAATGGCGATGGCAGATGTGAAGTTAAATTCACACCAACTCAAACAAACAGTCAAAGTGTTGTTGTCAATGTCAAAGACAGAGATGTTGAAGTGGGGAAACCATACGAAGACGAAGATGGTATAAACAATAGTTCCTGTAAAAGAACAACCAACATATCCTGAAGTTAGCAGAGACTTAAGTTCTGTTGCAGATATTCGAAACGACTACCAACAACTTAAAGACAAACTTAAAACTCAGGAGAAGATTTGTCAAGCTTTAGGTGTAATGTTAAACTTGGTCGAACACAACCCTGTAAAAGTGAACTCATATGTCATTGCACCTCATGAAATTTTGAAAAGAACTATTGAAACTTTTGACAGAGGCAGACGATATAAACATCAAAGAAATAGAACCCGACATTGCTTGCTGTGGTGTTTCATATAATGTCATTGACAAGATATACGTTATGAAGGAGGTGAAACGTTGAACTGAAAATAAATAGTTTCCCAGACGTCATAAAAATATTTGACGACCACAACATTTCATTAAAATTTACTTGCTAAGTAAAAATGGCAGAAGACATAGTGGTTTATACTAATTACGACTAAAAACCCTGAGTCATATAATTCTATAACAACAAACTTACAAAGTCCTCAAGGACGATATTGTAAACTAACTTTAAACACGATGACGACTAAAGCCTGTTTTTGCTCTTTTGACACCAGAAGATTTTATTGTTTGTGAATGGTAAAAAATACTCCTTTGAAGATACTTACTCAGATATACCACCAACAGGTTTTTGTTGACTTATTTAATACTTTAAGGACGGATGTAACATGTGCTGCAACTAGAGCAGGTTTCATTATGTTTAGATGTCCGACTGAGTTTAGTATAAACGATATGAGCTATAATACAAAACTTATATCTGGTTTTTACTACCAACAGTTTCCTATAACAGGAAAAGGTGTCAATACAAGGAATGTCTGTTCCATTGACTTTAAGTACACCTATTTTATATATTGTTTCAAACTTAGGTTCAAAGTGCTATTCGAATGTCGCAGAACTACTATGACCAAAAGATACTCATGCGTATAAACAACACTTTCTCTGCTGGTTTGCCTATTGTTCATTCGAATGCAGAGTTTTCAGCTTTAGTGAACTCAAACACTTTAGCAAACATAAACTTAACCTTAGTTGACGCAAACTTTGTTCCTGTAAAACTTTTATGTCCTATGTATTTGTCAATGACGGCAGAAAGTTTCGAATTGGAAGATGCAACTGGTGAAAGTATTGTACTACAAGAACAACTTCAACAACAAATAGCTCAAGAACAACAAATAGCTCAAGAACAACAAATGCAACAACAAAGTCAAGAATAAAAAAAATATTTTTTTTTATTTTTATAAAAATGTACAGAATAGACGTTTCAGATTTTTATGACTTCCAAGCCTTCAGAAATATGTGTCCATTTAGAGACTATAACAAAGCAGTCGAGAATTTGAAACGTTTAGTCATTTATGTCGACTCTGCCCCAGAATGTTATGTCATGAAAGAATGGGATGTTGTCTTTAACAAACCAAGAGCGACAATAGTTTCAGAACAAGAATGTAAACAGAAACTTAAGAAAATAAAAGTCGTACAAGTTGGTATGAAGATGTTAGATGCTTGGGATATCTTATTGTCAAAGTTAGAAGATTTTTCAGTTCGTGGTATAAAGTTCTATACACCATCTCCAAACTTCTATTCTATCTTCACTGGATATAAATACGAACAAGTAGAATGGAAAGAAAATGTTATAGAAGCTTGGTTAGACCATGTCAAAGAAATTATATGCAATGGAAACGAAAGAGTCTATGAGTATATCTTATGTTGGTTTGCAAACATCTTACAACATCCAAGTGCTAAAAATGAAACTGCTCTCATTGTAATTGGAAAACAAGGAACAGGTAAGAACACTTTCTTTACAGATATCTTATGCAAACTGTTAGAGGGCTATTCGAACCCTAATATGACAAACTTAGAAAACATCTGCGGTAAATTTAACTCTTCAATAGAGAATATGAAACTTATAGTATGTAACGAACTTCAAAGTATAGATACAACAAAAGTTTTGAACTCAGATGCTTTGAAGAGTCTTATAACAGACAAAGTTGGAGTTGTTGAAAGAAAATATAAAGACCAAAGAGTTTGTGAAAATGTTGCAAACTTCGTCATGGTTTCAAACAACGCCGTTCCGATGAAGTTAGAAAGTTCTGACAGAAGATATGTAGTTGTCAGAACGTCAGATTCTCATATGCAAGATACAGAATATTTTGACGACTTAGCAGAAACTTTGACATCTGACTTTTACAACCACTTGTTCTCATATTTCATGACATTAGATATTTCAAAGTTCAATCCAAGACAAATTCCACATACCGAAGAGAGACAAACATTGTTAGAAGCAAACAAGAGTGTATATGAACTGTTCATAGATGAAACTGACTTTGAGTGTTTAGATGAAAGGTCATTGTACGATTCGTATAAACAGTATTGTCAAGAGTATGGTTATATGACAGCGTCTAAACGAACATTCTTGGCAAATGTCAAAAGTCTTTTAGACGTACAGAATGGTGTATATACAAAGAAAAATTTTTCTGAGTAAATTTTAAAAAAAATATTTTTTTATCCGATAGAAAAGATGACGAAATTCATCTCAGTCAAACAAGTACATGTCAGGACTTAAAGAAGAACTAGACCCATTCACATATTTGAATGTTTACTTCTACCTTTTTGAAAAGTCTTACATTTGACAAAGTTTGGAACATCGAACCAGTTAAGTTTGCTATTGTGACTAAAAATGGTGCGAAATTTGAAGACTTAGACATAGAAGGTTTGTTAACAGTCAAAGAAAGTTTTGACAGAAGGTTCTCAAACCTTAAAGAAGGCAAAGCATACAAACTTGTTATACCTTATGAACCAAAGAAAGCAGACGACTATGAATATTATGAGTCTAAGTTGTAGAAGTTCAAGGTAAATTGGGTAAAAAGATTTTAGAGTCTAAGCCAGTGTTTGCTCCTAAAGAGGAAGAGAACATTGACATTGACCCAGAAATGTTCTAAAAATAAAATTTTATTTTTACATGTCAATTTCTTTTTCTCTGGCTGGTTCAGGTTCTTTCTTCTCTTCTTCTACTTTCTTTTCTTTCTTTTCTCTCTTCTTCTTCTCTGGTGGAGTTATGTCAAACTTCTCAGAACCATATTTTTGTAAAAGTGCTTTGTCATTTAATAGCTCTTCTATTCTGTTTTCTATTTCATTTTCAAGAACAGCGCATGTGTCTTCTTTGCATTCTAAGAAGTTTTGTTGGACTTCATCTCTCCAAGAGGCGTCATCTCTGTCAACAAGTCTGTCATTGACAAATTTTAAGACTTCTCTGCTTAAGGTTTTATGGTTCTTGTCATATTCCCAGAAACAGAACTTTAGAACAAATTCACCTTTCTTGTTTACACTATGTAAGATTTTATGGTCGACAGATGTTTTGCTGTCGAAAAGCTTGTCTCGAATATAGATAGCGAAATCGCTAGACATTTCCTAAAAGATAAAAATTTTAATTTTTCTAAAAATATGTTAGAAAAAAGTTTGCTGACATTGACAAGAAATTTGAGAATGTTTTAAAAAGAACAAGAGGAAGTTGGAAAATGCTCAGATAAAACCCATACATGACAAGTTCTTATTTGCTCAGAATGGTATAACAGGTCTAATCGCACCACCTGGGTCGGGTAAGACTTTCACTTATCTTAAAATGGCTGCACAACAACAAGAACTAGATGAGAAGAACCCATTCTATGAGTTAGTAGTCATTTGTAGTACTTCGGTCAATTTGACCAAACCGTCAATTCGTTCAAAGATATTATAAAAAAGTCTAAGTTAGTATGTATAAAAGACTCTGAGTTGTTAGATTGGATAAAGAAGTACCAAAGAAGAGTTTTGAAGTACAATGCTATAAATGAGTATGTCAATTCTAAGTTTAAAGACCCAAATGAGGAAATGCAGAGAATATTAGAGAAGAAACACTTCAGAAACAAACAGAAAGAGATAGAATACATTTCGAAGAAATTGCAATCTTACGATTGGAAGACTTACCCTCACAGATGTCTTCTTATCTTAGATGACTTTGCTTCTCATCCTTTGTTAAAGAACAGAGAACAAGACATGTGTCGAATTCTTAAGAAGCTCAGACACTTTAACATCTCAGTTGTCATTTGTGTACAGACAGCAAAGAGTTTAAGTAAGGATGTAAAGAGAATACTTACTGACATTGTACTTTTCCCCGGATTGTCCGAAGACGATTTCATGGAACTTATGAAAGAGTCCATGGCAGGTAAGTTTGACAGACATGAACTATGGGAGAAGTACAAAGTCATACAAGACCCTCATACTTCTTTCAGAATTCATCTACGCAAACAAAGTTCAAATTGTAAAAAGTCAAGCGTAAAAATGTAAGTGTTTGAGTCTTAGTCTGTTGTGGTGCTGGGGCTGTCGGTTCTTCTGGCTTTGGAATGGACTCGGTTGGTGGTACGTCGGACATTCGTTTGTGTCTTGTCGGATGGAAGGACTTTTCCTGTCGGAAGGAAGGACTTTTCCTGTCGGAAAGAAAAACTTTTCCTGTCGGAAAGAAAAACTTTTCCTGTCGGAAGGAAAAACTTTTTCTGAAGGTCGACCAAAAAGTTCTCAATTTTCGAAAATTTGAATGATTTACGGACGAACAACAGAAAAAATTTTTCCTGTCGGAAAGAAAAACTTTTCCAGTTGTCGGGAAATTTTTTTCTTGTCGGAAGGAAGGACTCGGAATGCCAGAAGGAAGGACTCGGAATGCCAGAAGGATTTGACAAGACAATTTACCATCTAGAGCTACCTGAGCCATCTTTGGTGTCAAGCTTGAAAAATAAATGGTTCATTTACTCTTCCTCTTTGAAGTTATCGAAATACTCTGTTATCTTTTCCTTCAGTAGCGGCAAATCTTCTTTGAATGTAAGTATTGTACAACCTTTCATATCATAGTGTGTTTGAGGTAACGTATCTTGAACTATCTGTTTAACATCTTCATTTGGTGTCATTGAAATCGGTAAGTTTTCGCGATAGAACCAATTTCTGTCAGATTTGTAAATCTTAGCAAGGTCGTAAAAGCTTTTGTTGTTTCTTCTGACTAAATGCAACATAACCATATCTCTGTCTTCTTCATTTTCCATCTCTTCAGTGTAAATCATATACTTATAGTTCTTTTCCTTTCCTTTTGGTACCGAACGTGGTATTCTTTTCTGTATGTTTTTGTCTTTTGCTTCAAGCTTGTTCTCTAGCTCTTCACGTTCTTGTCTATGAATTTCATCTAACATCATGAAAATATAACAAGCATAGCGAGGTGAAGCCCACATTGCAACAGCATTTACAAGAAGTCTATGTACATACCAACCTCTCAAACCATTTGGCAAATTTTGACGATTTTCGTACGGAATCTCGACCCGCGGTTTTCCGCGGGTCGCAAACATATGAGGAAATTCTTCTAAAAGTTCTTTTGTCTGTTGGTTTTCAAACCAATGATGTGCTTGCTTTGTAGAACGAAGAGCATTCAAAATACTTTGCATTTGGTACATGTCATCTTTGACCGAACGAATGAGACGTAACTGTTTGTTATACTGAACCCACTCGTATTCTTCACTTATGGCTTCATGAACGATAGCAGTTGTTGTGTTCTCTGTTGTTGACATTTCTGTTCTTACATACAAAATAAAAAAATAAAAAAAAATAAAATTAGCGTTATTTTCTATCTTGTATAAAAGACCAAAAATAAACGCTTTACATGTATTTTTCAGCAACTTCGTCAAATAATTTTATAGCTTTGTCGATCTCATCTACTTCAAACGTTTCTTTACCTTTCGTGGGAGCACCATACATTTTCTCAAACTTTTCAAGTAGTTCTGTTTCAGCAGCTCTCATATCGTTAACGAACACAACCTTGACTCTATTGACTGTACTGTCATATCTTTGAGTTATATTATATGTTCTTCCTATCTTATATCTCTTTGTATTGAAGTCCTTCGGTTTCTGAACGATGTAAAGTAAGCCTTCACTGCAACGTTCCGTATCGAATGAACCATATGTTATGAAATTATATCCAACAACTGGGTCAATCCAGAACAAAACTACTGGTATAAGACTTTTGTCGATGAGATATGCTCTTGTTCCATAGAATCTTACCGATATCATAAGCTCAGGATTTCTTGTCAAAATTTTCTGAGTAGAAGCATTTCTAACCCAGTCGTGGGATGTTTTCTTTTCAGATAGTGTTAAAATGTCTGACAAAGAATATTTGTTGTATTTCTTTGAGTATCTTACGTTTAAATCACCTATTCTAACCACTTTGGTCTCATTGTCTATCTTTTTAACTGTTTCAAACTCAGTGTTTGTCATTTTCTGTTCTTACATACAAAATAAAAAAATAAAAAAAATAAAACTAACTCTATTTTTCTATCTTGTATAAAAGATATGATTTCAGGGATTTTTTTTACGAAGTGTCAAAGTTCTCTTCGTCAAAAAAATACAGTTATATCATGAAATTTGGTCATTTTTTCACGATTTCAGGGATTTTTTTGACGAAGTGTCAAAGTTCTCTTCGTCAAAAAAATACAGTTATATCATGAAATTTGGTCATTTTTTCACGATTTTCATGAGTTTTATGCAAGACCGAGAAAAGTCGGTCTAGAGAAATTTCACTCAAAAGTTCTTGTGTGCTTTGGTTTTTGAACCAATCGTCTGTATGTTTGGTATCTGGAGCAAAACATGCTGTCAAAATACTTTGCATTTGGTACATATCGTCTTTGACCGAACGAATGAGACGGAGTTGTTTGTTAAACTGAACCCACTCGTATTCTTCATGAATTTTGTATAAAAGATATGATTTCAGGGATTTTTTTTTACGAAGTGTCAAAGTTCTCTTCGTCAAAAAAATACAGTTATATCATGAAATTTGGTCATTTTTTTCAGCAAAAATATATTTTAGATCTAACCAGGTCCCTCGGTCCCTCGGTCACTCGGTCAACTAACATCTTTTTGAAAATGGTGACAACATGACATTTTGACAACAACACAGGAAATAAACTTCTTCGTATATGTTTTGTCATGATTTCATCGTAAATGAGCGTAAATCAGACAAAAATATATTTTAGGTGAAGTGGTGAGATCTCACCTCTTTTCTCACCTCTTTTCTCACCTCTTGAATTTTGTATAAAAGATATGATTTCAGGGATTTTTTTACGAAGTGTCAAAGTTCTCTTCGTCACTCATAACAGTTATATAATGAAATTTGGTCATTTTACTCAGCAAAAATATATTTTAGGTGAAGAGGTGAGATCTCACCTCTTTTCTCACCTGTTTTCTCACCTCTTTTTCACAAGCGTTTTACATGAATTGTACGATGTATATTTGAAATCCTAAACAGTTTTGTAGCTTCTATTTCTTCTGTCAGTATGTCAAAAGTTTTCACAATGCCGAATGTTTCTTTATATTTCTTCTTGACATCAGATAGAAGGAAATCGTCAGCTGTTGGATAGTTTTTGTTTAGAAATGTCAACATGTCCATTTTATCTTCTGCTGGTTTCTCTGCTTCTTTCTTTAAATCTGCATAGTCGTTTCGCATACGTTCTATCTCTTTGACGGAGTAGTTATATTTCCTCATTGCTGCTTTACATTTTGAACATTGTGGGTTCATTTTAGCATTGTACATTGAAATTTGTCCTGCAAGTACAACTAAGGCGTCAATGGTTTTCTTTAACTCAAAAGTTGCTGGTTTTATCTGTTCGTTCCATACTTTACCTCTTTTATCTTTATCTCTTATCTGCCATACACATTTTGCAACTAACGAAACAAAGTTGTCGTAGGTCTTAAATTCTTCAGATTTATATATGTCAGAAACATTTTTATATACCATATCGCAGTCTTTGTCCATGACTTTGTGGTTGCAATGAAATCCAAGAAACTCATAGTTTACCTTACGTATGAACTTCTTGGTTTCTACTGAGTCAGTTGCTTTGACTTCTATTTCATCGAATTCAGGAATAGTAAGCTTTTGTTGTTGGATTTCAGGAAGTTTAGGTAGATGGTCAATAATATCCTGCATTTCATAAAGATATTCTTCATTTGTTTCATCTTTCGCACTACAGTCTAAATCTCCTTGGAGAAGTTCTTGCTTTATCTTCTGGATTTCTGTTTCGAAAGTATATGAAGAAGGAATGAAGCTTTTCATCTCTACTAACATAGATGTTGGATTCATGACTAACGAGTTTGGTGAAGTTGTTGCTAACATGTTCTTACAATAAAAATAAAAAATATTTTTTTTAAAAAAACTAACTTTTTATTTTATTTCGGGAAAATTCATGAAAATTCAACGGGTGAGAAAACAGGTGAGATCTCACCACTTCACCTAAAATATATTTTTGCCGAGTAAAATGAGTTTTGGTTGAAAAAACAGGTGGAGCCAAAAGTGGCTCGACCTCAAAACAAGCATTTTGTGAAGAATATACCAACCGCCGGAATTCCGGCGGTTGCTTTTTATACAAAACATTGACGATGAAGTCTTGACAAAACAAGCATTTCGTGAAGAATATACCAACCCGCGGAATTCCGCGGGTTGCTTTTTATACAAAACATTGACGATGAAGTTTATTTCCTGTGTTGTTGTCAAAATGTCATGTTGTCACACTTTTTCAGAGAAGTTTAAATTACCTGGTGACCTGGTGACACCTAAAAACCATCTAACCTAAAATATATTTTTGCCGAATTCAATAAAAATAAAATGGTTCATTTACTCACAATATTTTTGTACAAAACGACCCCAAACTTTTAACCTCTCTTCTGCAGCTTCTAATGAAATTTTAGCGAGTTCATATTCTCTAAATTCTCTCTTTAAATCTTCTTGTTCCCATTGGTCTAGTTCGTATGGAGAATCTCTATAACCATAACACATCTCATGTTCATGTTCTATTTGTTTTTCGCACATTTTTCTAACTTCTTGTTCGAACAAAGGTTTAGCATTCTCTACTGTATCTTCAAGTTCTTCTTCATCTAATTTCTCATGAACTTTCTTGTCTATGGAGTCCATAATTTTTCCAACTGCTATGCAATATTTTGGAGAAGCCCACATTGCTATATAGTTTACAAGTCTTGGGTCTGCATACGTTCCTCTAACCTGTTTGATTTCATCGGGAATTCCTGCATGAACTGTGTATAAAAAGCAACCCGCGGAATTCCGCGGGTTGGTATATTCTTCACAAAATGCCTTAAAATACTCTTCCCAGGACTTATTTTCCAACAACCTTCTAAAGTCTTTCCTAAACTGCTGACATATCTTTGTTGCATTTATATAACCATCCTTGTCTCTACGTAAGACTTCAATACCGTTGTAAGTGCCTTTTGTGAATGTTTCGCCATTAGATTTGTTCGTGAACGTTTTTGCTTCGACTGTCATTTCAGTTCTTACAATAAAAATAAAAAATATTTTTTGGTGGTACGTCGGACATTCGTTTGTGGCTTAACCGTCGGACATTCGTTTGTGGCTTAACCGTCGGACATTGTCTTGAAACAGTACAAGTCTTGTTCCACTTCTCGGGTCAGCCGTTCTACATAACCTCAGAAGGCGGCATCCAACCAGTTCAGTAAACATCTCATTTTAACTCACTTTTTTTCTATCTTAAGGAAATTCATGAAAATTCAAGAGGTGAGAAAACAGGTGAGAAAAGAGGTGAGATCTCACCACTTCACCTAAAATATATTTTTCAATACTTTTTCAGCACTTTTCCGTAGTTGTATATGAAAGACAATTCGAGATAAAAGTCGTAGTACAATGGAATAATATGCTGCACACCGTTTGTTGTGAACCAAACTTGAAAGTCAGAGAAACTGTTACTAGGTGGTTCGTAGAATTTAGAAGCAAAGTCATAAAAGTCCTTACCGATACATAGAAAACTGTTGTTGCTTGAACTGAAACTTGCATGACACATGACATTTTGAGGGTCAAACACGTTTCTATAAACTGTCAAATCTGCTGGTGGAAGTACAAATTTAAATGGACCATCTGGTGGTAATGGTTCGTTCTGGTTTAGTAACCGAAGAAATTGTGCCCAAGAACGTTTGTCTACTCCCCAATATAAAAACTCTGTATCTCTTGGAGGGTTAATTTCAATCTTTTGAAATGAAACTGTGGAGTTCATCTTGTCATATTCTAGTTTCAGATAGTATGTTCCATTTAGTAAAGAGTCATATTTTTCTTGAAATTCCCAGTAGTATTTGTTTATTTGAGTTTGAAAGTCATTTAGAGTTTTTTCAAGACTTTCGTCTGAACGAATTGTAAAGATTTTCATTTCGTCAAATTTTTCTATTAGACCATCAGAACCTTTATACTGCCCATGAAAATATACTGCGAACATAAACGCGTTAGTTCTATTTGAAAAACAAACTCTTCTAAATCCTATTGCCTTTGCATCTGAAGGACTTTGAAGCCAACGAATTGGATAGTCAAACCTGTAAGTTCGGGATGAAATTTCTTCATCTGAAAGATTCCTACCAGCATTTGTAAAGATATAGTCTAACGGTTTTGTATCTGCTACTTTTGTTCTTTGTTTTTCAACCTGAAGCATTTAATATATGTAAAAATATACTGTTTTAAAAACGTTTTTATTTCATGCAATGTTTTATTTCATGCAATGTTTTATTTCTGTGCCGTCTTCAAGTATACCCCAGTACTTACGCTTGGAGAGGACATGAACTTCGGAAAATACCTTGTCTAGCTTAAAACAGCCCATCTTTTCACCGACCATTCCCATTTCAATGAGTTTGTTGTATCCTTCTTCGTTCGTCATGAGTGCGTCAATGTTCTCGTAGTATACCTTCACTTTGGATTTGACATCGGAGAAGAATTTGTTGTAGTTGTCAAGGACTGCCTTTGCGAACTGAGGGTAAGACCAATGTTCGACAATAGGTTTTAATGTGGTTACTAAGCCACTTTGACCTTCGGTGAACTCGTACTTCAAAACAAAAGGAGAAAACCTTTCAACAAAGTTGTCGACCTTCTCATAGTGTTTACTCTTCATCTTTTGAGGTTTTTTAATGGAATATCCCCATGTCGAATTCATAAGCAATTTGAGTGTCATTGCAAGTTTGGGGTTTGAAGCTTTCCTAATATCATACAGTTGTTGTATGACTTTTCCAACTGTATAGTTCCTTCCCGGGAACTCACCATCTTCGTTTGGAATTCCAGTCGGAATATATTGGACAAACCTCATGTACGCAGCGTTAAGGTCGACATAGTATATCTTTTCATCTGAGTCGAACTTGTCGCAACCAATGGGTCCAGTTCGTGGAAATTCAAGTGAGTCTCTTATCTTCTGAGAAACTTCTCCTGTTATCTCATAAACATCGTCAAAGCAACCTGTTTCATATAAAACCTTCTGACCTAACTCTGATGCTCTCCAATACAATTTGACGTCAATTGGATGTCTCAATGGAAGTTTGTTTATAGCATCTTGAAGTTTCTTGTAACCTCATTGGAAGTTCTTCTGGTTCAGGTTGGTATCCGAACAATCCAACTCCTTTGGAACTGTGTACTTCTTTTGTGCTATAACTTTGTCTGGAACAACTTTTGGTCTTGCTAACAATGAAAAGTTTGTTTCGTCTTTTGGTACAAAAGTTTCTGTCAGCTTGTCATCTGGAATTGGTTCCAACAAGCCTTTCTCGAAAAGAATGTTAACAGCTCTGACAATGTTGCACTTGCCTTTTCCGAACAATGGGTTTGTAAGACTTTCGTTCAACATGAAGTGGTTGTGGACAAGTACAATCTTCAACCATGGTAAGTCTTTGTCAACAACATAGTCGTCATGTGAAGAACCTTTAGCTGTAGGTATGTTGACGCGGATATTGACATTTGCCAACGGTGCAATTTTTGTCAATTGCCCTCTAAGAATGTACCTTGTTTTCACACATGACTCAAGATACTTCATCTTCTCATCTGTAACAAGACCAGAGTTCCTGAGACATGTAAGAATACAAGGTTCATTGACAATTGTTTCAATTGAATTGTAAATTCCATACCTTGTCAAGTCAATGTCAGACTTATTTCTGAACGGGAAATACCCAGCATGTTTGTCTGACTGCTTGAGGGTTAGGTTGATACCATTCGAACTTCACGCTTGCAATTCCTTCAATTGCATTCAAAATGTCTGAGTCGGAGTCAACCATTTGTTCTCTCTTTGTAGTCTTGAAAGCGTCAAGAAGTTGTGCGGCTGTTGTGACATTGCCATGTGCATAGTAAATATGACCATCCAAATCTGTTACGGTCAATCTGAGATTGTGTCCTTTCTTATTTCCGTCTTGAATTGCAGCAAGTACACCCATGAAGCCTTCTTTGTTCTTTCCTTCTTCAAAGTTTACTGTAAAGGTTCGACCAGATGTAATTTTACTTCTAACTTCACGATACTTTTCATATGCATATCTTGTTCTTTCCATGGGAGCATGTGTGTCTTCACCTTTTCCTTTTTTCCTTCTCAAAGGATGCAATTGTTCGTCATGTTTCCAGTAGAATCTGGCAAAGCCGTCGTGTCCTTCAACTTGAGGTTCATTAACATCGAAAGGCATGTTCATAAGACGCTCTTCTTCTAACCTCTCTAGTCTGTTTGGATAATTTGCGCGTGCTGTTTCCAAGTCCATTTCGTAGCGAAGACCAGACAATTTGTCATAGACTTTTATGGGTCTTCCCTTCCTATATTTAAACTTCTTCGAAACTCTCCAACCATATCTTTCTAACTCTGCTTTTATTCTAGCAGATTTTCTATCCATTCTATATGGGGGCATTTTTATAAAAATAAAAAAATGTTTTTCCTTTACTTTACATAACCACCCGCTGCCATAAGTCTTTGACGCCAACCCATACCAGCTAATGAAGGTTGACTTGGTTTAGTATTGAAACTAACCTTTGGTTTTGGTTTTTCTTCAGTTTTTGGCTTCTCTTCTTCTATTGTTTTTTCGTCACTTTTCGGTTCATTTGACTTTACCTCACTTGCAGGAACAGTTGTGTCGTCAACATCTTCATAAATATCATATGCCATTTGTTTTTGTTTTCCTTTCAACTTTTTGTGTTTGTTGTAAAGTTTAGAATATTTCGACTCTAAGTCAATGAGATGTTCTATAATGAACTGTTGGTCAGTGAAGTATACTTTCCCATCTGTTGTCTCGAAAGCTCCTTCAGACTTCAATATTTTATTTGTGAGAGTCTGTTTCTTTTTTGAGATACTAGCCGTTCCATTTTTATGAAAAGTGACTTTGTAGTTAGAGTTTGTATTTCCAGACCTGGCACTTTCTATTATTGAATTTTTCTCTTCATCTGTAAGTTCTTTGACAGGTTTTGACAATGGTTCTGAACTTTTTGTTTGTGGTGTCAAATCTACCGTTTCAACTTCTTCGGTCATTTCATCTCAGTAAAAAATTTTAGTTTGGTTTGTTTTCAACTGGTTGTTTAGGTTTTTTATGTCGGTCTAAAACTTCCTGAGGTATAGGAAGAACTTGACAAACACGTGGTGGTGTAACTGCTGGAAGCCGACAAATCCATCTTGAACCCATTTGTCTCAATGCTGTATTGTTCATTTCATCTCAGTAAAAAACTTTACATTCCCCACGTTTGAGGCGGTTGCGGTTGGTTGTTGTTTACCCACTGTTGTGCATGGTTATATCCTCTGTTAAAGAATCTTTCACCTTGGTCCATATAGTGCCCTGCTTGGTTATAGTAGTCATTTGCTTTGTTATAGTAGTTTCCTGCTTGTCTTCCTACATTGTCCATCCATCCTTGAACTTTTCCTCTTGTTTCAGGATTTGGAATAAGATTTGCTGCATCTCGTGCTACCTCCCAACCTTTCTGTACAGTTTGTATAATAGGTTGTGCTTTCTCTTTCAGTATACCTAATGTACTCAAAATCTTCCTTCCAATTCCAAATGCACCTCTGGCTAGTGTTCCCACTGCGGGTAAAAATCTAGATGCGACTCCTGCTAATGCGCCAAATAAACCCATTTCTTATGGGTTAAAAATGACGAATTCAAACAAGGACCCCCATGTTTCTAAAGCAACAAAGAAAGCACTCATGGTAAAAATCTTTAGTTCAACACCAAATGCTTGGTTTATGGATATCTTGGAAAACATTCCGAGGTATAGAGAAGATGGACCACCATACTGGCTAATATTTGTCGGTCAAAACACAAGATACTGTGAAGCCATACCATTATGGTCCAAAAATATTTTAGATGTGAAAACTGCTTTGACAATATTCGTTGACAAATACCATCCAACAAAACTGACATCTGACTGTGAAAGTTCTTTCAAATCAGACGATATTAAAAACTATCTGCGTTCAAAAAATGTAAACCAATATTTCATTGTCGACCAAAACCATTCTGCTCTTGGTGTCATTGACAGTTGTATAAAAATCTTAAGAGACTTAAACCAACCACAAGGTGGTGAAGCAAATGAAATGTCATATGACGACAAGTATAGACACTTCTCCATGGCAAAGATGAGACAAGTTTTAAATATTTACAATAACCGTAAACAAAAAGGTTTGGGAAACCACTCCCCCGAAGAAATGAAAAACAACCCCGACTTAGAGAAAGACTATATATTTAATAGTTTAGTCAAAAGAGACAAACAAGAAAGAATGCCGGGCTTCAAACTTCAGAAAGGTGACAAAGTAAAAATAGAAATACCTAAACGCGACCCATATGAAAATACTATTGACTATGACAACAATGGGAACTCGACAGGTACTCACATTCGTGTTCGTAAAAATAGAAGAAAGTATACAAGAGAATATTATGAAGTTTTAGGCAAACATGGCAAAATGTACAGACTGCAAGCAGAAGATAAAACTACTATTGTCAGACCTCGTTTCAAACTTGTCAAAGTTCAAGGTGGTATACTTTCAAAGACAGTTCCTAACAAATATAAGACAACTCCTGACGAATATGCTAAAGAAGTTGAAAATGACGACTAAGCATTTCTATACCATGCGTAAACTGTCATGTAAGGTGGCATGTAGTCTTTACTTTGTCCCGTTGTTTGCGTATACCCTGAAACGCGATGTGTATGGTCTCCTTCTCTCCAAGTGTCATCCCAGGAACCATTTATAGCAAACTGAACGTCGTCTTTAACATCATATCCTTTACCTTTTGTCATTGTTGACCAAGCCCAATATTTATGCCTATGCAAACCTGCTTCAGATGTACTTAAATTTATGTAGTGACTGTGCGCAGGTAAGTTTTCACCTGAAATCGTTTTACTTCCACCTGTTTCCTTTGAAGAGTTTGCACAATACAAAAACCTGTCGACTATTTGAGTCCAAGTTCCAAAACCAAGTACTACTTCTGGTCTGGTAGAGTTCATTGACGTATAAATAGAACCTATAGGATATAGTGTTTGAAGTATTTCTGTCTTTAATGTTTGAAGCTCTGTTTTGTCTGCTTTCTTCTCTAACATTGCTGGTAGTTCGTATGCTTCAAAGTTTCTGGTATGATCTTCGATATTCCTGCAACTCTTATCTAAAATGTTAAGAGTATCTTTTACGCTTGTACTTGGATTTTCTAATGGTGCACTTGAACCAAGGTCAAAGTTCAATACTATGTCGTCTGCTCTAAAAGTTGTAAAACTTGTATGTGTATGTCCAACGGCACTTTTACTGTTTAAGGTTTCTTGTAAGTTTGTAATATTTGCAATGGTATGTGTATGAGTCTTTTTAGAATATTCGTTTTCAGCTCTTGTCACTTCACTTGACATTTTATTGTCAACATATGTTTTGTCTGCTAGTTCAGGATGAGTATGTTCTTTCGTTGCATATGTTGCATCTGCTCTGTCATGTTCTTCTTGAACTTTTTCAATGACATACTCTTTGTCAGCTTTGTTGTCAATATCTGCTTTCAAAAGAAGTTCATCTATAGGTTTCTCGTTTAAAGTTCCTTTTGTTGGATTTACACAGACAGTATGGTTCTTGTTGTCTTGAAATAGAAACTCGTCTGTCATTGGGTTTAATGTCAGTTTTAAGTTTCCTTCTTTCAATGACTCAGATATCTTAGAATAGTTTGAAAAGTTTGTTGTGTTCTTATTTAGAGCTTGCAAAATGAGTTGTCGGTTGTGTTGTATTTCTCTCATAGACGCTGTTTCTTTCGACATTTTTATTCTAGATAAAATATGCTTCCAATAGAAAAAGAAACTTCTAGAGTTGCTACAACTAAACCATTAGATGAACTTTTTACGAATGTCGGTCAAAAGTTTGAGACAGAGACCGTAAAGCATGAAGGCTATCGTTTTGACTACCCCTTAAGATGGCTAAGAGACCCATCCGTCACAAAAGCTGTTGGCTTTCGTAGAATGAAGTTCATTTCAGAAGCCATACATGGTTTCCCATTTACGGTCGCTTTTGAAATTCGATACTATAACAAAGAGAAACGTACGTATGAGAAATTTGTACAGGGAAAACTTTTACAAGTTAGTTTGCTTGTAAACTTAGAAACAACTCTTCAAGCTTTTCAAGAAAAAATAAACGATATCTATCTCGAATATGCAAAACAGTACAACATTGACGAAGGAGAGTACCATCTCGATATTTTATATGACAGGAAAAATGCAACTGTTAAAATCAATAGAATAGAAGACCTTGGAGAAGACGTTTATATTTCTACAAAATATAACAACTTGGCATGGTATAGATTTTTGAGGATGTTAAATCAGCCTGCAGAATATCCAGTACACCCGAACTTTTATGAAGTCGAAAACCCTAATGGAACATATGAAAATGTTTTCGACTCAGATGCTATTATAGTTCATGCTTCATTTTCTGGTGCACAAAACTCTTTTTTATGCTTGGCAAATGACTTTTACGAAAAACCTACAAAGCTATATGAACCACCAAGTGGAAGTATTTCAGACTTTCAAGTATGGTTTACAACAGATGGAAGAAAGAGAATAGTTCCATTATACCACGCGTTTTACTTAGAACTTAGTTTCATATACAACTACTATCGAACGGTAAAAATATAATTTTTAATACGGTTGAGGTGTTGGATTTGGTTGCCAACTAGACTGGGGTGCAGGTTCAGGCTGTTGTATAACAGGAGCTTGTTCTTCTGGTTCAGGGTCTTTAGGTATAATACCAACGAACTGACCTACTCTTTTACCAATATTTTTGACTCCGTTCCAAATTCCTCTTCCGACAGATTTTATTCCATTCCATATACCTCTTCCAACATTTCGAAAGAAGTTTCCTATTCTTCCAAAGAAACCCATTTTACTATATGTAAAAATCTAATGTCCGCCTAGTCTTTTACGTTTCCTGTTGAGTTCCATAGCATTCTTTAACTGGAGCTCATACATTCTATTTCTCCTCTGGTAGAAAACATATTCCGGGTCAACTCCTGTGTTCGCGTCATCTGCATAGAGTTGTTTATATCCCACTTCAGGGTTTGTATAAAACTCTTCCCATCTCATATTTGCATACCATGGTGGCAAACCTAACGCAGCGTCATTTGACATGGCAGTTTGCATTTGTACATCTGTTGGCACTTGACCATAGTTTGCCATTGCAGTTTGTATTCTAACTTCATTTGGAATATTCGCTGGGTTTGGTTGTCCAGGTTGCTGTGCATTCGCTAAGTTCTGTGCGTCCATTTAATATTAGATAAAAATATCTCTTACGAGTACATATGCTGAACATTTGCTGGCATTGGTTCATCTTCATATTCTCTATATCTTTCTGCCACGTCAAATAAGTAAATGACACAATGGAAAAAACCTAAAACAAGTAGTCCTATTTCAAACCACATTTACTTACCAATAAAATTTCTTTGTTATGACACTTTTTCCGGTTTATAGGACCTCTCTCATATTCTATCTTGTCATATCTAAACTCATAGTCATGTATGTCCTCTAACCATCTCATGACACTTTCCAAACCACTTTTATCGGATGTAAAGTAAAAGCATGGATGGTTATGTAAAACGTCTAAAGTTTCTAAAGAGTCTCTCAAAGTCCAGTCTACTTGGTATTGAAAATCGCATGTGTTATAGAACGGCGGGTCTACTATAAAGAAAACATTTTCCTTGTTTTTATATTTTTCATACAACTCTGTCCAATGACATCTCACAAACTCTATACCCTCAGTATATTTTTCTATGTTCTCTTTGAAAACCTTTGTATAGTTAAGATATAAAACTTTTGACATAAGTGTTTCAATGTCATGAACTCTTATAGAACCACTATATAATAGTCTAGCAGATATACTATCCCAGTCAATATATTCTGCTTTTTTCAAAACCTCTCTTACAATATTTTTGTTATCTAATGGTATACGTTCCATCTTGCCTATAGGTATCTTTTCTTTCAACTCACTCAATATTTTGTTTGTGTCTGGTATATGTTTGAGACGGTTCATATAGTTGTCGAAGTCATTGCATATAATCTTTGAGTCAGGAAATACAGTATGGCACAAATGGGATATATAGAAACTTCCACCGAACAAATCTACAAATGTTAGACCATTCGGTAGTTTCTTAAGTTCTCTCAATAGAATATCTTTACATCTACTCTTATTTCCAAAGAAGGGTAACGGTGGTTTTGTAAAATTCATTTTATATTTAATAAAAATGTTTTTTTCCTGAAAAGTGACAGAAAAGTGACTGGGGCTAGAGGGCACGAAGTGCCTGGAAGCCCCACTACCTTTTTTTTTTATTGCCACTCAAAAAATCACGATTTCAATTTTTCTCGAAATCTAGCCTTGAAGTGTATGTTAATTTTACTAAATATAAGCATTATATTATATGCTAATTGACTTTTTGCATTCGTCTCTATTAAACATGTATATATATATTCCTCCAAAGTTCTTTCAATTTCATTGAAAGGGAGGAAAATAATAAAATAATTCCAATAGAAAAAGGAGAAGAAAGCAAGCCAGATGATGGAAATAAAACTGATAATTCGATAACTCCGACGAATTCACCTAAACCAGGAGATTCTTCAAAGAAAGGCCTTACAAATCAGGAAAAGGGTATGATAGCTGGTATAGTGGTCGCTGTTGTAGTAAGTGTCGCAATTGTTGTAGGGATTTTTTTATTCCGCAAAAAATGTCAACGAGAGGACTCAGCTGAAGAAGTACAAAATATTTAGATATTAGAATTTCAAAAATTGAATCAATTTAGTATTTGAAAAAAAGAAATTTAAATTTTGGTTTGTTTGTAATATTTAAACATCTAATGTAATTTTTAAACGAGTTTTTATAAGAAATGAGCTTAAAACTATTTAAATTCAAAATCAAGAATTTCATATTTTCGTTATGTTTTCAATTAGCCTTGATGATACTGTAAAAAGGTTTGCAGAGTTCTTAGAATTGGATGACATCATGAGTTTCCTTACGTTGGATGAATTATGCGGCTCAATTAGTAGGATCAACTTTAATAATCAACTTGCTACAAAATTTGTTTCAAAAGTATTTGATGAATGCACTAAAATTGAAAAAAATAAGCTTCTTAGCTTAATGAAATTTTCTCCTGGTGACGATGCCACTCAAAATTTCAAATTATTCGAATTAATTCTAACCAGTTTAGAAATTCCGATATTAAACACACTATTTCAATCGATAAAAACACAGTTTAACACCAAAAAACAAGAACCTTCTCAACCGCCATCTGTAAAAAGTGAAAAGAAGACGCCTTCATCTGTTCGTTCAAAGGAACCCTTACAATCATCTGATTATGAATTATGTTTATTGGTTGGTATCGGCGATGAAGCAGACCTTCGAAAATATATAGATTCACATACTGATATTAATTTTTATTGTGAAACAGATAAAAAATTGACTCCAATGATGATAGCATGCAGATTCGGACATCTCAACATTGTTAAATTACTTTGCAGCTATGGTGTTGATATAAATAGACCTAATTCGGATGGATATATCCCTCTTATTTCAGTAATTCAAGGCGATAATTTGGAAATCATCAAATATTTATATACTATCAATTTAAAAATTCCAGAAAACATAAATGAAAATAAATTGGTAAACATAGCTGCAATTTATAACTCTCTTAGAGTTATGCAATACTTTGTGGATGAATGGTATATGACAGTTGATTATGAATGCTGTCTATATGCTGCTAGACATTCCAATGAAATTATGTTGAATTATTTATGGAATAAATTTCCAGAAATGCAGGAAACGAAGAAGGAATGCTGTATTGTAGCAGCTCATTATGGTAATGTTAAAGCAATTAACTTTTTTTACGATTCAAAGTATGTAGATATTAATGCTACAGATAGTAAAGGAAGGACAACATTGATGGAAGCTATTAGAGCTAATCAAATAGAAACTGCAAAATTAATTATTGATAAAAATTGTGATGTCAATATAAAATCAGTTAAAAACAAGGATGCATTGTTTTATGCAGCAAGAAATGGAGATGTTAATTTTCTTGAGTATCTCATAATGAAAGGAGCAATTATTGATGACATTAATAAGTTGATAAAAGTGGCAGAAAAAGCTGATAAATCAAAAATGGTAACATTTTTTAAGTTGCAAAATGATTATGCTAAGAATTATCAGTGATTAATTCTAATTCATTTATTATGTAAATTTCCTTAAAAAGCCTATTAATTTGAAAGAATACAATATTTTTATTTTGACAACATTTTAAATCATTCTTATATATCTAAAGAAAAGTCATTATCATCAACAAGCTCTTCAGCTTCAGCAGTTGCTTGGGGTTTTCGCTTGATGAAATGAAGAACAATAACTGCAATTAGAACAGCAATTACAATGAAGCCAACAACTCCTCCTGCTACTACCCCTATTAGTGCTCCTTTGGAAAGAGTAGCTGAGTCCGCTGAATCCGACGAAATTGTGTATGATGGAGCATTATCTTCAGCAATTGGAAGTTGACCTGAACTTTCAATTTTCGGTTCATCAGTGCGCTGTGGTGGAGGATTTTGATTGATAACTGGAGTTTCGCTTGATGTTGTTTCACTTTCTATGGAAGAAGATGATGTTGTTTCACTCTCTGTTGATGATGAACTAGATGTTGTTTCACTCTCTGTTGATGATGAACTAGATGTTGTTTCACTCTCTGTTGATGATGAACTAGATGTTGTTTCACTCTCTGTTGATGATGAACTAGATGTTGTTTCACTCTCTGTTGATGATGAACTAGATGTTGTTTCACTCTCTGTTGATGATGAACTAGATGTTGTTTCACTCTCTGTTGATGATGAACTAGATGTTGTTTCACTCTCTGTGGAAGAAGATGATGTTGTTTCACTCTCTGTTGATGATGAACTAGATGTTGTTTCACTCTCTGTTGATGATGAACTAGATGTTGTTTCACTCTCTGTTGATGATGAACTAGATGTTGTTTCACTCTCTGTGGAAGAAGATGATGTTGTTTCACTCTCTGTGGAAGAAGATGATGTTGTTTCACTCTCTGTTGATGATGAACTAGATGTTGTTTCACTCTCTGTTGATGATGAACTAGATGTTGTTTCACTCTCTGTTGATGATGAACTAGATGTTGTTTCACTCTCTGTGGAAGAAGATGATGTTGTTTCACTCTCTGTTGATGATGAACTAGATGTTGTTTCACTCTCTGTTGATGATGAACTAGATGTTGTTTCACTCTCTGTGGAAGAAGATGATGTTGTTTCACTCTCTGTGGAAGAAGATGATGTTGTTTCACTCTCTGTTGATGATGAACTAGATGTTGTTTCACTCTCTGTTGATGATGAACTAGATGTTGTTTCACTCTCTGTTGATGATGAACTAGATGTTGTTTCACTCTCTGTTGATGATGAACTAGATGTTGTTTCACTCTCTGTTGATGATGAACTAGATGTTGTTTCACTTTCTGTGGAAGAAGATGATGAAGAAGTTGTTTCACTTTCAGTTGATGAAGATGAAGAAGTTGTTTCACTTTCTGTGGAAGATGATGAAGAAGATGATTCAGAAGGAGATACAACAATTGGTGGGTTCTCTTCTTCTGAGGGTTCTTCTGGATTAGGATTAACTGTTTCGTTACATGTTGTTAAGTTGTCAGTTTCGTTGCATGTATGGAGGATTTCTTCAAATGTTGAATTTACAGTTGGTGCAAAATCGACATCAGGATCATCATCAATATTTTCTGAAGTGAAATTGCTCACAGGAAGGATATTTTCATCAAATAATGGATCATATGGTATTTTATGAGCGCTATAATCGAAATCATCAACCGGGAGAATTTGAAAATCACCAACAAATCCTGCAATTGTAACTGGCTCATCAACACACTTCATCGAAATTGTGAAATTCTTTTCTTGTATCCATCCCTCTTCTTGAATCAATTTGTCGAATAGATGAGTGTAGCTGAACAATGGTGTCTGATAAAGTGTTGATCCTAAAATCTGAGATTCATCATAAGGTGTTATCAGATGGGTATCAACAATGCCATAATTTACGCCATTGATACTAAGCTCGAATTTTCCACCATTTGTAGGAGATTTGTCTCCAACAATTACAAATCCTTCTGAATTTGATGACATGTGGGTTTTGATATCAGCTCTGGCTCCATTCTTTAGTTTGAGACCTCTTCCGTTATAATACAAGCCATATTTTGTGAGTAATGCTTTGTCACAATCATAGCAAGCGACATATGAATGTGTCGCTGGTATTACTTTCTTCTTCTCAAAGCCATTATTTGCTGTGATCTCTCCATAGAATATTGCCTCTGTGAATCCATTGAATTCGCAATTGGCGTCTGGTTCAAAGGTGTATGTAAAATATTTTCCACGATAACTTTTGATTTCGCCATTTTCTTCGTATTTAATCATTAGATTGTTATCGGAGAAATTAAAGTGGCCTAAATCTGCTGTAATCTTTTCATATGAATCAAACATCAAAAAGTAATATTCGTATTCCAATTTGATCTTGCCAACGAATTCTTTTCCTTTCTTTGAGAAGAACTGAACTGCGTAGCTCTTATATTCTTTAACTGCTTCGAATTTGTAAACATATTTAGTTGCCTTCTTAACATCAGTTTTCTCTGTCTCATTATATTTAACTTGGTTAAAGAGGAGTTCTGAGAGATTTGCTGTGTTAGTTTCACGAATCCGATTGGCATGTGTATGAGATTGTTGATGTACTTTTTGCTTGGGATTAAAAAAGTTACAATCATCAAAAAAAATATTCTTACAATTTAATGAGATTTTTTTAGATTCTTTCAATTTTTTTGTGAGATGTATTTCAATCAATTTTGAGAAGATTAAATAATCAAATCGTGCTGTTTATATTATACAATATTTTTTATCAAATTCTATCCTTTCTTAAACTTTAAAAAAGTGTTATTCTAATAGTTTTGTGTAAGGCTGTATTTGTTTGACCGAAATTTTTTCAAATGAATATTCAAAAAATAAAATTAATCATCCTAGAATTTCGTTGGAAATATTTTAAGGTATTAATATTCTCCTTCTAAAAAATTCTGAGGATAAAAAAAAGAAGAAATGCCACAGAAAATGAGCTGAAAAATTGTAAATAATCCAATCTCCTATTATGAATTGTGTGAAAATTATATAACTCAGCAAAAATTACGCATGGAACCATTTCAAAAGTCAAATTGGGGTGAAAGTAATCGTAAACTGAAGATATCAATTCATCAAATTAGCATATCATATCTATAAATCAAAAATATACATGCGATTTGCCATTTAATCATTAAGCTGTATTTCAGAAGATATCTTTATCCTTTATAGTCAGCTTGGTTTAATATGTTCGACGGTATAAATAGATGTATAAAAGAAATCTTTTACTTGTTCATTAAACTGCAAGAGCTGCTTCATTATCCAATTCATCTGATAATGTTAGCTTTGGATGTTGTTTCATATAGAAAATAACTCCAACAACAACCAAAGCTACAACAACTAAAGCTGCGACAATACCACCTGCAATTGCTGGTACCTTATTATCGGATTTTGCAATTTGATTATCCTTTCCATTAATTGTTTGAGATGGAGAATATCCGGATTCATTTGGAGCGTTATCTGGTTGCGATGGCTTAGTCTTTGGTTCTTTTGTTGCGGGTCCTTCTTCGACGAAAACTGGTTCTCCATAACTTGATTCGTTATAGTTGTTGGTATCTTCGTTATCATCAGAACGTAAATCTCCTTCCTCGAGCATTGAATTTTCAGTTGATTTATCATATTGGATTTTATTCTTTTGATAATCAAATCCATCAACTGGTTTGACAGTGTAATTACCAATCAAGCCTGCAATGCCGACAGTTCCGGCCGTGCATCTCAACGACACAGTGATATCCTTTGGTGCTGTCGTTGCTTCATTTCTTGGATTTCTTAAGATGGAATATCCGACTAAAGGAAGTTGATATGCTTTAGAGCCAGACAATTTATTGAATTCGGCAGGATACATGTGCTGTGTGTTAACTGTTCCGTAGTATTCCTCATCGATGTAAACATCGAATTTGCCCTCGTTATAAGGATCTTTATCGCCAACAATACCAAGTGTGTTTGAGCCTTGTTGGAATTGACCGAGTTTAATATCAACTCTGCCGTCTTTTTTAAGTTTAAGGCCTCTTCCATTGTAATACAAGCCATATCTTGTGAGAATGACACTTCCATTTTGCTTTGCGAATAATGTATGGGTTGCTGGAATAATCTTTCTCTGGTTCTTGTAGAAGAATTCTCCATAAAATGTGAATTCAGAAATGCCTTGGAAATTGTTATCTTTGTTAGGTTTCATAGCGATTGATATCTTCTTGATTGGTTTTGGATTGATCTTCTTGGAACTATCTCTGTATGCAAAGAAGTTTTGTGAATTGAAGTTTACATTTCCATTTTGCATTGTAGTGTTGGTTCCACTCTCATCAATGGATGTGATCTTCAAATGCCCAACAAATGCTTTACCTTTGTTAGTAAAGAAATGTATACCGGAGCATCTTGTTTCGTTCTTGAGTTCAATTTCATAATAGAATGTTTGGCCTGTGCCATTTTTAACAATATTTGTTTCTCCCTTATCATCAGTCAAGCCATCGAAAAGGAAGTCATTCAAATCAATTGAAGAATTGTGTAATGTTGGGTGGCTTACAACAGTTACATAACCTTTTGGCATTATTGCGAAGTCAGATCCGATATAGTTATCTTGGTAAGGATTATCTCTGAACTTAGGGATAAATGGATGATGATCTGGCTCACTCAATGATTCTGCATTATACTGTCTGACTCTGTTTGGTTGAATATTGTATTTGGTTGTATCATTTTTAATCATGTAAAAGCCATTAGCTTTTCCTCCTCCAGCAGCATTCTTGAGGAATAATCTCCAATAATATTTCTTGTCCTTTTCCAAGTTAATATATTTAGTGTTCTGGCTTGGATTAGCTGTACCACTATATCCTGTCAAATTGACAATTAAATGTTCTTTATCTTCTTCTAAATCTCCTGTTAATGAATTTTCTGACATCCAAAGCAAAATATCCTCATCATGTTCGAAGATGAATTTAGTCTCGCCAGACTTATCAGGGAAGTAAGTTCCTTCTGATAATGCGACCCATGGAACCTGATTTTGGTGACCACTATATAATGGAACGCCAATTCTCATTTCATGGATCATTGAATGGCCGCTTTTTTCTCTGTTTGCCATAAATTCATTGTATGCAGATATCATATCAGAATTTGAAGCGAGTTTGTAGAATGTTGTTGTCAAGCCCTTTGGATATTGTTTGACTGAGATAACAACAGTAGTTATGTCATTGTTTACGTTATCTTTATACTCAACGTATATCTTGCTTAACTCTTTTCTATCGCCAGGAACAAATTTGTATCTGGCACCGGAGATTTGAGTTAATGTGCCCTTTGTAGCTCTGCATGACTTGAATGAGAATGTGTGCATTCCATTCTTTGATCTCATATACTTTTGGAAGTCAAAGTAGTATGGTGCGCCTGCTGCAATTCTGAATGGTTTTGCAGTCTCAAACTCATATCCGTCAAGAACGTATCCTGTTCCATATATTGTCGCCAATGGATGGAACTCCTTAATCTTGTTTTCTCTTCTCATTTGGTCAAGTGTTTGGTTGCAAAATTCTGAGACCATTGTTTGCATATTAACGAAACTGAATCTTGAGAAGTAGGCTCTCATATCACGTTTGAATACTTTGGCGCATGTTAATAAGAATTCAGAAACATATCCGCCAACTTCATTACGTTTGTAATGTTTTTGAGTAATGTGTTCCTTAAGGCACTTTCTTTGGAGTTCGGAGCCAAAGTAATAGACATTATTACCATAGAAGCTAAGCAAATCGCCGTTATTAATAGTATTGTACTGATATGACATTCTATTCCAGCCATCTTTGTTGCCAACGTAGTCTCCGTTGAAGTTTACTTGTCTGGTTGAGTCAATCTCGCAAATAAGTACCATATCAATGAGGTTTAATACATTGTTGGTAACTTCGCCAGGATTTGCAAATCCCCATCCACTCTGGAAGTGGTGATGGTATTCGTGTAAAAGTCCCCAGCATCCCCATTTAGCACTGTCATAGTTCACTATGCCACCAGCCCAGCTTGGAGGTGCTTGAATGAAATTACCTCCGACAAAAGCGACAGCAGCACCAGCAGGGACATAAGAATCGAAGTTGTAAAACAATGGTCTAATGACGTTGCCATCTCTTCTATTAACACTTGTGACTTCATTTACGTCATAGGAATTCCATGAGACAGTTTGCCAGAATCTCATGCCATCGTTGACACATACAGCTCCTCTTATATTATGTGTTGGCATCCGTGCAAGAAATGTGCCTGTATCAAATGTTGTCAATGGAGCAGCAAGTTTGCGAAGATCAGTTTCCCACTCTTCATCTGTGTTAACGCCATATATGAAATGTGGCATTCTAATACCGCCAGAGATATTGACTTCAAAACCTAATGGAAATTCATCTTGATATGTGACTAGATCAAGATTACCGCCATATGGCCATGCAAACTCTGTATGTTGGGAATTTAATGTGAACCTACATTTAAGTCTGCCAAGACGAGTATTATAATTATTTTGATCATGTGTATGATGATTAAATTGAACTACAATGCGTTTGATAGTGTTTCCTGGTATGTCGATTGAAATAACTTCTCCAGGTGGTACATAAATGCCTGTAGGATGATAACCCATGCGTTTATTGTTAATTAGAAATCTGTATTTGTGTCTAGTGGCATTATTAATCCATGTTTCATTACCGTTGAATTGTTTAATGCCAGCAGGATGTCGGTAAGCCTTTGATTGTTCTAATTTGTTATATCCTTTGCAAAAATTATTAAAAATTTTTTGAGTTTCGTTGCGAAGCTTTTCAATATCTGCAGTTCTTTTATGACCTGGCCATGGATACTGATTATCTTCAATTGGATCTGTATACTTTGCCTCTCTGATATGAGGAGGATTTGGTTTTTCAATTTCCTCAAGGGGTTGAAGTGAATCTGGGTCTCTTATCATTACTGAATCTGTGCCATGATGGCCAAATACAGACTTTGAATAGGACTGTCCCAAAGCTAATAGGAGAAACATTTATTCAAAATAAAAAATGAAAAATAATCCATTTAAAATTTCTGATAAAAATGAAAAATTTGTAAATATATAGAGTGTGAATTATGGCAAAGAATTTGAGTTTTTGCTATTTTATTTTTTGAATGGAAAATCGATTTTGAATTTGATTGAAAATAAAAAATGAATAAGAAATATTCTTCACATATGATTTCTTAAGGGTGCACCCGTATGTACGTTTATTTGAGAGGAGGAGGATTACCCTCTCAATTTTGAGGGATTCGTTAGTTTATTTTCTCGATGAATATGCAATAAAATTTGATTTTTACCTTATCAATATACTTCATATAATATACATATGGTTGTTAAAAATATCAAAAATTAGCGTTTTGAAGACACCATGGTGTCTTATAATTTTCCCTTCCTTATTGGCGTGTAGAAATAAATGCGCCAATAGATTGAAGAAGCAGAATTGTTTTTCTCTTAATGAACTTTAATCCTTTTGATATAAGAATATTAAAAACATTAATATAATTTCGATTTCGGAAATTAAATTTCCAAATTTTTTGTCGATTTCGGAAATAACAGGATCCCGCATCCAACACGCAACAACAAAACACAAAACGCACTTTTTGGTTCTTTCATCGTTTTAATTGTAATTTATGTAATACATGATTTGGATAAATTTTACAAAAATAGAACCTATATTATATTCTTTTCAAAAATTCTTGCAAATCATCAAAATAATTGTATTTTAAAAAACGATCAAATTATCCTTTCATTATTTTAAACTTAAATTAGTTTTTATGATTGACTAAAGCAATCATATTTATTCATCATTAAATAAACAAAAAAATAATATTTGAGAGTTATTTCAAAAAAAACACATTGAATTTATTAATTTGTCTCAATTTCAGTATTATAAATTTTTATAATTTCAATATTTTGAAATACACTTTTTAATATTTCAATATTTATGATATTTCAATGTATTAAGTGGTCTCAAATTGAGCTTCTCAAATATAAGTTGGCCTATTCAAATAATAAAATTAAATAATATTTAAAATAATAAATAAAAGTGATTGAGGTCATAGCAAAACGGCTGTTTCAGTTATTAATTCTTAAAAATAAAAAGGGTAAAAACTAAATAAAATGGGTAAAATTCAATAGTGTCTGTGTTATCGTTCAATTTGAAGGTGTCTTTTGAAACCGCAAGACACATTGAATTTTTGAATAGTATATTATGGTTTGACAGACACCAATGAAAAAAATAAAATGATATTTATTTTAAATATATAAGATCCTTATATAAAATATAAATATTTTATCGTTTTCTTTTCTTGTTTTAGAAATGTTTTTTATTGAAAAATCAATAAAACTAACTCCAAAATAAAATTTTTGATTTAAAGACATTATGATGACACCAGGCAAATCTTCCAAGACACCTATCGTCGGGAATCTAACAACCCTAAATATACACATGTTCATGTAAAAACTTTTTTCCAAAATCCTCAGGAATTAAGGGATTTTTAAATTTTAAGAATTTTTTTCGAATTTTTTCGAAAAAAAAATATTTTCAGAACAGCCTTAACGGCTAAGATTTAGGAACAATGTTAAGTATCAAAAAGAAAGGAGGTCTGATATAGACAACATATATCGTTGAAGGTTGAAAAAATCTCTAATATTTGAGCCCAAAATTTCAAATTTTAATTTTTTGAAAAAAGAGGCCACCCGTGTGTACGTTTATTTGAGAGGAGGAGTATTATATTTTTGAAAGGGTGAAACATTATGAATATGTTAATTATATAATAATATGTATTATTATAAAAAAGAAAAAATAAAGCATGTTAAAATTTTTCTTTCTTGATTTTTTACAAAATCTACTTAGAATTATGCAAAATATGACTAAATAATTATAAATTTCAAGTTAAATTTTAATTTTGATAAATAATTTAAATTTCAAAATATCAAGTTCAGTTCGACTATGTATGTAGTAATTCCTCAATAAAGTGCCAAAACCCTATTAAAATATATGAACATTTTCAACATTTTAATGTTTTTATTTAAAAATTTGTTGGAATATGAGCTTCAAACAATTATTATGTAAATAAAAATAATTAAATATATGTATTTATTCGTATTACAACCGTAGTAAGTCGATTCTTCCTTTCTTCTACTGAGGTTTGAATTTGATTTCGAATTGTAAAGAGATTCAAAGGGAAAATACTAGCGGATAAAAACTACCTCCATGAAAGGGTCAGAATGGAGTCAAGTTGTATTTTTTGATATTTTTTGCTTTTCGAGCCTAAATAGGTAGCCAAGATAATGCCTAAAATAAGGTTCTAAATTCTGAAGTTTACATGATCCTCTCGTGTGCACCCTTAACAAAAATATCTTATTGATTAAAATCCAAGCTTTTCAATTTTGTATGGGTTCTTCAGAAAATTTGAAATAAAAATCAATCTTAATCAATCATTAGAATGTGAGTATTTAAAAGTGGGATAATTTTTTTCAAACTGATATAAAAATGTGAGAAAGAAAATTTTTTTCGGCTAACCCATTGAATTACATGATCATTTTGAACTCTTTAACCCATATTTAGTGATCTAATCAAAATCTGAATCGAATCCTCAAAAATTCTTTAATCTTTAAAAAAGTGAAAACTTTAGCGATGTATTGTCTATGTGTATCTGTTTGTTGGATTATTTGTTTAGTAATTTTGTGTTTATATTTTACCCATTTTAAACAAAACTAATAATATTGTTCTTTTATAGATTTATAAACTGACCAAAACAAGTCATATAATATAATGTCATTTAAACTATTGATTTCTTGATTTTGAATTTTCAAATTCATAAAACTTCTCATAATGAGCTTGTGAAATAGCGAAATGATGTATTATTGAAGTGTTATATGTAAGTTTATCAGTAAAGTTAAATTTATAATGCTGCAATAATAATTGAAAATCAACGTTTCAAATTTAAGACTCATCATGATAACAACAGAATATTTGTAAGATACTATTACAAAAATTGTGTAAATTAGTTGCCAGTAAGGTTATATAGTATTATCAAATCTTTGAAGTGATGAAAAAAGAATACTAAAATAGATATGAGCATTACTATATGTAGCGCACAAAAAGAGTTATACATATTGTTGTTTTTGATGTTATATCATAAAAGAAATATATCAATAATTTTTATTTTTCAAACATTAATTCTAAACTTTGCGTGTTGGTATTCATCCTTGTGTCCCTGTGTGTGTTTGAGAGGTACCTTCTCTTCGAGCAGTTTGTCCTCTTCGTCCGCAGATCTGAGCATGAAAACGAGGGAGAAAACAATGATGAAAGCAGTCAGAAATCCAACAGTCGGCCAAAACCATCCGAATGATGCAACTCCTTTCGAAATAAACGAAATTTGAGCTGATTCTTTCGACCAGTGCTTGGCGTCAATTGAAACCTTTATGTCAGCAGCTGTGTTGGAGAATAATGGTGCTTTGCATGTTATAACATTCTCATCAACACTGTCACTTTTTACGATAATATTTCCGAACATACAAAATGCTGATTCTGGCACTTTTCCTCTGATTTTTACGAATACAGAAACGATGCATCTTTCATCTTTGAGGCACTCTGTTGGTGAGACAGAGATGACAAGAGGAGGCTGCTGCAGACACTTGATTCCGTCTCCTGTGTATCCTTCCTTGCATTTGCATTTGTTTCTCGATAAACAAAATGCATTTGAATCACATGGAAAATCACACTTCAAACAGCCTTTTTTGCTGTCATAAAATTGAGTGCTGTCTTTGCACCGGCATTGTCCATCTGAATAAAAGGATCCACTTCCATGACAAAGTGAAGTGAAGTTGTCAAAACCGTCATTTGTTGGAGAAGGAGTTCTTTCTGGAATTGTTTCAATGACAAATTCTGTTGGAGAAGGAGTTCTTTCTGGAATTTGTTCAATGAATTTTTCTGTTGGAGAAGGAGTTCTTTCTGGAATTTGTTCAATGAATTTTTCTGTTGGAGAAGGAGTTCTTTCTGGAATTTGTTCAATAACAAATTCTGTTGGAGAAGGAGTTCTTTCTGAAAAAGATGATGAAGAACTAATTGGGGGGTTTGTTGGAGTTTCTAAAGAAAGTGAAGTGATAGTTATGTCACTTCTTGGTTCATTTTTAGAAGTATTTGTTTCAGAAGAATTTTCTTGAATTAAAGAAGAAGATTGTTCTGAAATGTTGATTTTTGTTGAAATTTCTGAAGAAGATTGTTCTGAGTGAGGTGAAGTGACTTCTATTGTCATATTTTGAATTGTTTCATTGGTTTTTGTTTGGTTTTCAACAAAAATAGTTTTGTTTGTGTCTTGGTTGGTTTTTGTTTGATTTTCTTGGATATTTTCTAATTTCTTTTTTGTTTTTTCAATATTTGTTGAATTTGAGTGGTCAGTAGCATTTTCTATTACAATGTTTGTTGTATTTGTAACATTTTCTATGTTTATTTTTGTTGAATTTTGATTTTGAATTTTATTTTCAATTTTTGTTGAGTTTTCATCAGATTTGGTTTCATTTTCTTCCAGTAACATTACTTTTGGTCTTTCTATTTGAGTTTTGTTGGTTTTCTCGGTTGAATTTGAAAAATCAATTTTATTTTGAGTTTCGTTTGATTTATTTAATTGTGTTGTATTAATTTGTTGATTAGTTTTAGTTGTTTCATTAGTTTTTCCATTTGTTTCATTTAAATTTTTGAAAATTTTATTTTTATTCAATAACTGATCAACTTGTGTCATTATTTGTTCTGTTTCGTTGATGTTGTCTTCCTGTGAAGCCAAATTTGTTTCATTTTGCGAAATTTGTGATGAATTTGAAAAAACAATTTCTTTTTGTTTTTCTGTCTCGTTCCCTGCATTGTTTAGTTGTGTACCAATGGTTTGGTTGTCAATTGTTTGATTTGTTTCAGAAATATTTGAAATAATTTCTGATTTATTTGCTTCTGAAGAGAATGATCGATTTGCTTGCATTTCATTGATATTTGTGAGTATTTTCTCTGAATTATTTGCTGAATTTGATGGTTTTTCTACAATTTCGGTTTTTTCCATTGTTTTTGACTTGTCTGGATTCACGGTATTGTTCACTTGTGTCTCTTTATTTGGAATTTGAGTCTTGTTCATGGCAGTTGTCGAAATTTTGCTTTGTTCGATTGTTGTATTTGAAACAATTGAATTTTTTATTGTTTGGTTTTGTTGGGAAGAAGAAATGTTGCGTTTTTCTTCAAATATTGAAGTTATATTTTGTATTTGTGAATTTGATGTATTTTTTGCAGTAACATTGCTTTCTATGCGTGTTTCATTTGTATTTTGGTCAGTTTTATCATCTATTTTGTCTTCCTTAATCGTATTAAGAGGAATTTTCGATAGATTAGAAGAATTAGTATGATTATTAACCAGTATATGGCTAGAATTAGTTATGTTATGATTTGCTATATTTTCGTGCAATTTTGATAGAATTATAGATAAATTTTCTGAAATTGTTTCGTTTTTAACAATTTTTTCGTTGATATTCAACTTATTTACCTCAGTTGTATTTGAAACATTTATTAAATTGTTGAAATTTTTACTCAATTCGGGAATAGAATTTTGGATTTTGTTTTCCACTGAATTATTATTTATGTTTTGAACAATATTGCTTGAGTTAATTGGTTTTTCGTCAATTTTTGTTGAATTTTCTGTCGAAATTTTTGGAATAGTTGCATTTTCCAAATCTGATGTTGATAATTTATCTTCTGGAGGAGGAAGAGTCTGGTTGTTAGTCACATTAGACTCTCCTACTAATTCAAAAATCAAAAGGTTGATAAGCATTCTCCAATTAAAATCTCAAAAAGTGACAAATATACGAATAACATATCAAATCTGTGAGACACATATTCTCTCTTTTGTTTAATGGCTCTCGATACTGCATAGAATTTTGAAGACATGTAATTTTATAAATTCACAAAATTTGAATCAGCATTTGAGAATTTAAAACATATAAGATAGCAGTAACAGCACATAGTTTACTAGTATATTGGTTACTTCTTATAGAAGAAAAAAAAATAAAAATAAAAAAAAATATTAATTGCTTTAGATAAGATGACTAATACGCATCGGTTAGCATATTAAGAGATATTAATAATATGAAATTTTAAACAAACAATATATTAGGAAAATTTGATGAAATTCAATCTAGTCAACATTCAAAAACTCTATATCTACGCCAAAGAAGTTATATTTTATCATAAAATACGATATATGCAAATGGTGAATGTATTTCATTGTGAGAACACTTGGTAACCTTTCTATCATCAAATCTATAAATGTTTCCATCAGAAGTTTCACATAAAGCGAAGTAATGTCCTTCTTCAAGACAATCTCCATCATGACAACAGACAGCGTATAATTTATATTTTGCATTAGATATCTCTAAATAATCAGGGTAATCTACACACCTCATATCTTTCTTTGTTTTCATTCCTTCGTTATAAAATCGCGATAAATGAATCATTAAAATATTTGGAAGTGATACAAAATTAGTTTTCTTTGATGCATCAGATATTTGGTAGCAATTTTCGCAAAACCTCTCTTTAATGATGTCTTCCTTAAGATAGTTTTCCAAGCATTTGTGTAAATCAACTGGAGATTGATTTAATTCTTCCTTCCTCTTGTCTTCACCATCACAAATTAAAGAAACAAATTCATCTTCATCTAAAACTTTCTCTCTCAATAAGTTCATTCTTTCATTCTGTTGGACTTCTATAGTGTAAACGAAATCATCGATATCATGAATTGTTTTTCTTTGGTTCATTATTTCTTTATCTTTGCAAATGAATTTTGTCTGTAAAACACTACTGGATGTTTTTGAAGTCTTTATGTGAGTATTAAAATCAATCGGGAAAACTTGTTTTTCGGGTTCAAAAGAATCATTAAGTAAATCTGCATTATATAAAAAAGGTGCGATATTGGAATCTTCAAAATAGCAAAATGCATATTTCTTTTCATCATTTGGAATTTCAAAACTAAAATGCAAAACTCTTTCAGGCAAATCATCAACAAAACCAAAACAATATTGTTTGCTATCAATGAGATATGTGACTGACAATGTGATTTCTGATTTTCCTGATTTATTTTCATCAGAAAATGGAACAAATATTGATTTTATTTCTTGGCAAACGTCATTGTTTGGAATTTGCAAAGAAATTGATTTGAAATTTTCTCTTATTTTTATATTTTGGCTGCAGCTTTTGCAAATTATTTCATCCTCTGTTGTTCCATTGAATATATTATTTATACCCTCATCTTCTTCAGACATCTCCTGAAGAACACTCAAAATAAGTTCATGTGAATCTTCCTCATAAAAGTTTTTGAATCTGTCGAAGTATTTTGATATGCAAACTTTCCAACTGCTTGGCGTGTATGGACTCTCTTCTTTATTAAATAATTTGACAAATTCTGATATGAGTGATTTTCCTTTTGTGTCAATTTTTGATAAATAATCTGTCAATTGTTTAGAATGCAGCAAACATTGCGTTCCCGCATTCATGAAACAGGTGCAACCTAAATTCACTAATCCTTTTATATCCTTCTCTGTTTTCTCTGTTTCATACAATTTGAAATCTTTTGTAATTTCATATTTTGGATCAACCAAAAACAATTGATTTTCTGAAATCAAATAGTCTGTCATTAATTTGCTGTTTTCTAATTCATTGCAATAAATGTTGTTTGCATAATTGATCACTCTCAGTTTATCATCATTTGGGAAGCCAAATATTTGACAAATCTTTCTTTTGAAATCTAAAACTGTTGAAAATCTGTCAACAAAAATTCTTTTCTTTGTTATCTTTTCGCCTTTATAATAAGCTCTGATAGGGATATCGCTTATGTCGATTTTAAATTCTTTACTATCAATATCTTCATATAACTTTAAGTGAATTTCGTTGGTTGTTCCAAACCAAGATTTGATCAAATTCCAAAGTGACTTTGTTACGATAAAATAGTCATAGTTATAGATTAATCCATATTTTAATTTATTTGCTTCAGCAATTTTTGTGTTATCTATGAGTCCTGGTAAAAGATTAATTGGATCATTATTTCGAAAGCCGATAATTCTCAGATATCTTCGATACCATTCGCCATCGATAGCATAAACACCATCTTCTATTGTTTTCTTTTCTTGTATCCTAATTTGCTTAATTATTTCACATTGATTTTCTGCAGAAGGAATTTCCATCAAAAATGTCACTTTTTGGCATAATATATCAAAAGGTTTTCTTTAACGAACCCAAATTTTTGATGGAAAAAATCTGTTGGTGTAAACCGGTTATTCTCCATCAAAAGGTGGACTATAATGGAAGATTTTGTGATACTCCCCCTTTTATATTCTCACCTTTTTGACACTCAACTGAGATATGATGTTTATACGTACGATATTTTTAATTGCACATCCAAATATATTTAGTGCGTTTGATTACTTCCTTGAGCTATGCAATATATATGAAGTTGTACTTTTCAAAGATAAATTCCAATGTATTCAAACAAATTAAAAAATATTACCCATAATCTGGTTTAAGGTAAGTGAATATGATGCAAATGAATATGTTCATTGGTTGTATGCACTTGCTTCAGCGTTAATGAATCAATTAAAATGATTCAAACAATGTAAATATTGCATGTAGTTATAATAACTCTATAAATTTATATTTATTCTAATATATTGAAAAATCATACATTCAGTGGTATTTTAAAATTCAGCTCGAAGGATGAATCTGTTGACATCTCTATTTTTGTTACAGAGGCCGTTGGATACTTAAAGCAAGAAAATCTATAGACTTTAAGGTACATTGCGCCTCCCATAAGGAATATCAATGATCCAAAGAGTCTGAAAAAGCTATATCGATCCCATTTAGTACCAAACTTTTCGTCTGCTTTGAGAATGAACTTTCCATGAAAAGCATGATAAATAATCAAATCAATTATCCAACCGGCTGCACCACTGATCATCTCGAAAATTGTGTAACCTACAGCATTAGTTGTCATGAGGGTTCCCGTGATGCACACATTATAAGTGAATGATATAGGAATGTAGATCAAAAACAAAATAATTAACGAAGTTGAATGAACTGTCAGTAAAACTGACGAACAAAAGTTTTCATGAAGAGACTTGAAAGAATATGCAGGCAGGAAATTAGCAATTGGATAAAACCCAAAAAGAACAAGGAAAAATCCGTAGATTCCGTTAATTCCTGTTAACAACCAAGGAGAAACATCATTATTATGTAAAATTCTTTGAGTGAGGACTGATCTAATTGACATAAACAGTTGGGCAAATAACAGCAAAATGGATGTAAGTAGTTTTGGTTTACCTTCAATGCCTACAGCGACACCTATTGTAACTAATATATTTCCAATAAGGACAATACCGAGGGAAACCCATTGATATGCATAATGAATTGGTTCGACAAAAACGTTCTCGATTATAATGATAAATAACAGATCAAAACATCTGAACGCAACGGAAATTGAGCCTGAGTTTTCTGCAATAGCAAATGAGTTAATGACTGAGATAAGAATGTCTAGTAACGCTAATAAAGCAATGTGGAGATAGATATTGATCGGAATATCTGAAAATTTTGGATTACTTGTTGGATCTATCAATGTAAAAACGTAATAAATTAGTGTGCAAGCGGCGATGCCTATAGTCATTACAAGAGTTCCCATCCATGGTCGAGTAAATCTGATAAAAGGACAGTCGCTACTATAGAAAGACATCCTGGAATAGAAAAGGCACCTAAAATAATAATTGAATAGGTTTCCCATGACAATCCCAATGAGATAGCAAATCCTTCTGTTTCTCCCGAAGTCAGCTTCCTTCTCCATTACAGAAAAATTTTGGCCTCTCAATTATATTCAAGTGGATACCTTAATTTTTTGTATTTCTGAAAAAAACTTTCATCCGTTTTAATCTTTTATGGCGATTTTATTGATTTTTAAATGATTCTGATCAAGTTCAGAATTTATGTTCTTGCTAAATATTATCAATCTAAAGTATGAGGGAAAGAAATAATCTTTTTCAACCACCGCCAAACCCTCTCTCAATTTTGAAAATATTTGACAAGGTGTAAAACGATGACATTTTTGCACCCAAAAAATTATTGAGATTTGTAGATTTTCTTAAGGAACCAAAGAGTATATGCATCTAAATAGATAGTTTGTGAAAAGTTTCTTTTATTTAAAAATAAAACTCATTCATTATGAGTTTTCAAATGTTTTTTTCTCTTCTGGCAGAATGTGCCATAGATGTGTGAGAGATTTTTTCTAAAGCAAAATAAACAAAATCCAAATTAATTTTAAAATATGAAATTGTTTATTAGTAACACATTTATCAATTAAAAAAGTATTTAACTTGATAAATAAAGGATCTCTTTTATCTTTATACTCTTTAAAGTGGGATGTGGTTGATGATCTGTGTAGACATGTTGTCTGGTGTAGCTGGCTGAGCGGCGACGGCTTCAGCGAAGACAGCCTTGACAACTTCTGGGGATGTGCGCTTAGCTTCCTGAGCAGCACGGAGTTCGGCGACTTCCTTGAGAGCCTTCTGCCAGTCCTCGCAAGCACCGACGGAGAGCTTCTTGCAGCAGCGGCACTTTGGAAGTGGGACGACTTCCTTCTTCTCGTTGAGGACGGACTGAACAGCATCGGATGTGATGACGGCTTCGATATCAGCGTTTGTCATGATGGAGCGTGGAAGAGAGAAGCGCTTCTTGGACTCGTAGATGCCATCGAGAGCCTTGAAAGCGGACTCTGTCCAGACTGTAAGGCGGCCAACCTGAGCGGCTGGGGCGAGCTTAGCGAGAGCGAGAGCCTTGACGGAGATTGTCTCGACGCCTGGGATGTTGCGGAAAGCCTTGACGATGCCCTTGTCTTCGTTGTAGATAACAAGTGGGCCCTTCTTTGTCTTGTAGGCGGCACGGCGGAACTTGCCCTTGGAGGAGCGGTGGACGGAGCCGTCGAGGACGCGCTGGACATCACCGTAAACGCCGACCTTCTTGAGGAGCTCAACAGCATCGCGTGTGCGCTTGATCTCCTGGACAGCATCGACAACAACGATTGGGACTTCCTTGACTTCGCCGAGGACGTGGCCACGAGCCTGGACAAGTGGGACGACAGCTGTAGCGGCGATGGCGGAAGCGATGGCGAACTTGCGCTGGCGGGATGGGACTGGGCGGAACCAGCGGCGAAGGAGTGTTGGTGGGTTGAAGCGATGGCCACCACGGCAGAAGTTAGCGTAAGCACCTTGGCCATTTCTGTTGGAGCCGGAACCATTGACACGTGGAACACAAGCCTTAGCACGGCCTGTACCCCAAGAGATGGCAGAAACCTTCTTACCAGCCATTGGGTCGTTGGCGTGTGGCTGCTGAGCATTCTTGGCAAGGTTAACGTAGACCTCTTTAACGACTTCAGCGCGGATTGGTGTGTCGAAAACCTTTGGGAGTTCGATTGTAGAAGCCTTCTGGCCGTCTTGGGCGAGAACGTTCACTGTTTGACGAGACATCAAAAAGGCCGACCATATTTATCGTCGGCACAGAAATTTCAATTGGAATTACATTTTTATAATAGGTTTAGATTTGTTATGGAATGTCAAATTGATATCAGTTGGATTTTCAGAAAAATTGAAAAATGTGCTTTTTTGATCAAAATTTGATTTTGTTATTAAAAATAATATATAATATAACAATCAAAAAGAAATTTTTATGTTTTTTGAAAAATCTTTCAGGAAATAAGATTCAATTTATAAAAATTCATTTTCCGTTAATTAAAGATATATGAATATATTTACTATAAATTGTATAAGAATTTGGTTATCTTGTAATCACTTTTAACATCGGTAATGATTAAAGCTGAGATATCTCTAGATGATTACTAATTGTTCACATGTGTTTACTATACATAAGTGCCAAGAGGAAATATTCCTTTAACAAATTAACCATCCTCACCAAAGAAGATAACGATTGTTGAAAATATTTACAATTGATTCAAATTTCTTTTTTCTCATTCTCTCATTATTTGGGGTGCTGCTGCATTTTCTAATTGAAAGTCAGGAAAGATAGAATAGATGAATAGATGAATACCACTCGATAATTGTGTGAGAAATGAGTCACTGTCGGAACTGAATTTTGAAATGGATATTATAACAATAATACCTATTGAATATGCTGTTATGCCTACTAGTGCATGTTTTAATATTAATGATTCAATCAAAATCAAACAAATAAGGCAAAATAGTCTGAAATTGATCTTTTTAACCTGAGTTAATTGTTCTGATTCTTGTTTAACTTCTTTGGATAAAATGATCGAATCTGTTTGAATCAAATCATCATTTGATAAAATTTTATCACCAATTTTGACTATATAGTTGCATTTATTTGCTTTTAACTCAGGTATTCTTTTGATATACTTAATAAATTCTTTAACTTTGATATCTTCCGGAACATCATTAATTGTTGTTGTGAAACTACCATCATCAAGACATACTACGATATCATGGGTGCCTGGCATCAAAAGAAATGAAATATTAGCTAAAAATTTGTCTAATTGTTGCTTGGCTGACCAAATAACCAAGCGAATTTTTTGATGCAGCTGCTGTGTATAGTTCATCTTGTTAATGATTGTGGAATCCAAATTTCATAAATTTTATTGCAACAAAAATTTTCATAAGATTTTGTGTCACTTTTATATTGATTTTATGAGATTATGCATTCAAATCAATGTACAACCAAATTGTTTTTTCGGGATTTCTATAAAAGGTGACAGATTTGACAATTTGTCAAATGATTTTTGAATTTTTCATTGTTTTTTCATGGTGTGCGGTCTTTGGAATTGATCTTGGAGACTGTTATACTAAAGTTTCCACTGCTTCTCAGCGGCATCTAGTCCTCCAAGCAATGAACTCCTACTCCAAATTCCTTAATCCAACAATTATTTCGATCTGGAACACTTCGAATCCAAAACATGCACAGTCATATGATGAGAAACATGCGTTAGATTACAATTGGGGTGTGGCTGATATTGTTAGAATGAGATGCTTAAGATATCCAGAAACATGCATCAGAGGAATCCCAATTTTACAAAATTCTACTTTTGCTGGAGATGATATTGAGACATTTTCAGCAATTTATCTCAAGAGCATTTTCGAATCAGTAAATCATGCAGAAGATCTTCATGAATCCGTTCAGAATGTAATTTCTATACCACATTCTTTTGGAACTTCTGAGAAATTACTATTGCAAAAAGCAGTTAGTCTTACAAACCTTTCTGTCACAAAATTTGTTTATCATCAATCTGCAATAGCAAAACTATACGGAATAGAACGATCAAACACATTTGCAGATAAGGAATTATATACTGCTTTTGTTGATATTGGCTCCAAAGGAACAAGAATTTCGATTTACAAGTTTAATAGTGACAACCAATCAATAAACATTGAAGAAATTGCCTTTGCCGCCAACGAAAATGTTGGTGGAAATGCAATTGATCAGAAATTAATCGATAAAATTGTTAAAAATCATAAAATAAAATTTTCGAAGCCAAAACATTATTATTTCCTTCTCGATGAAGTCAAGAAAGCCAAAGAGATGCTTACTCTCCACGACAAACAGACATTCAAGTTCGAACAAGAAGAAAACAAGCCAATAATGATCACAATTACTAGAAACGATCTCAAAGAAGCTTCAAAAGAACTTATTGACGTCATCAACCAATTATCAGATAAAGTACTCAAAGAATGTCCGGTCAAAGTCAACACAGTCGAGTTTGTCGGAGGAAGTACGAGATTATTCTTCCTTCCCGACATAATAAAGCCGAAGTTCGACGTGGATAGGATCTCCCACTCCCTAAATGCAGATGCCGCAATCTCCATGGGCGTCACTTACTTCGCCGCGATCCTCTTTAGCGAATTTTCAGTGAAAAAAGTGAATTTCACTGAAAAAATCCGAAATTCATTCGAAATCAGGGTCAGAGACAAGGAGTACAAGATATTTGGAGAGGGTACAACGCAGAGAACTGTTCCACACATACGTTGCCGAATAACAAAGAACGATTTGATCAAAATTTCGAGTAATGGCAGTGATTTCCTTGGATTCACAGTTGATGTGCCGGAAGAGATGGTTGTAGACCTGTCATTCGTGATGGGCCACTACCTGCTGCCTATTCCGTTCAAAGCTGTCTCAGGAGAAGGAAAAGAGTTCGAGATTTCAATAATTAAACACAAAGTTGACAGAAAAAGGTATGATTCACTCATCAGATCGGCAGTGATAAGGAAGATGAGGGAAAAGGCAAGAAATGATTTGGAGACACAGCTCTTCAAAGTAAAAAATTTCTTGGAGAAAAATAAAAATCAAAAAATTGAAAATGCCTACAAAAAAGTTACAGAGTGGCTCGAAACAGTTGATCAGAGAACATCGGCAAACACAATAAACAGAGTTTTGCAGTCTCTGAACAACGAAACACTCGGATTAATGAATTTCATTGATCCTACTCACGACAGAACTATTTAGTAAATGTACAATCTATCTCTTGTTTTTGTAATATTTAACATAAACTATAAAAAAAAATCATTTCAGTAAAATATCTATTTGATTCTAAGGTGATGTAAATTAACTTAATGGTTCCTATGGATTCTCCGAAAACAATGAATACTCGAATGAAAACAAAAATTCTAATCTCAATATACTGTTTCTAATATGAAATGTAAGGTAACAAAAAAATATAATCAGTTGTATAAGAGGAAATAATAGACCATTTTCATAATTTGAATAATTTCATTACAAAACTTCTAAATAGTCATAAAGTATAACTTTATTCATTATATACAAACAAAAATTAATGTATTATTTCACGTGCTCTAAGATTTGACCGAAAATGGTTTGACATCTCAGATTTGTTTCTTCTGTTGATTTAAACTTTGCTTGGAACATTTTTTCTACTTCTCTAAGTAGTATTTCCATTTTGCTTTCTGGTATTTCCCAGCTAGCAATGAAATTAAGTAATTGTAATTGAGCAGCGCAAGCTAAGGTCTGATAAAGCATATTCTTTCTCAATTCCGGTTTTATAGAATTACCTGATTTCATTCCCGGTATATCTTCTATTGCCAGTACTACAGATTGTGCCCGCAACATTATTTTCTTGACTAGCTTGTCAACTGTAAGGATTTGAGCGCCAGGTTCGAATGTATCAGCTTCAGAACGTAACATTACCAGGTGATGTAATGGAAAATAGCAAGGCCCTATCTCGTTTAAGAAAGATGCCACCAACGCATGAGGTATTCCGTTGATAGTTTTCAGAGCGATCACTCGGCAAATGATTGTTGGACCTTCGCGATTCTTTAAAACTGCTGCTAAATCTCCTGGCGTAATTTCACTGGCATCTTTTACGGAATGTAGGAACTTAAAATCGGAAGGAGGAATAACAGGTATCTGAATTTTAGGCACTGGTTTGACCTCTATCTCTTTATTCATTCCGTTTGTAACGGATTTGGATCTAGTCGGAATTGGAGGTTTCGGGGAACTTGCCTCAGTTTCGGTCTCTATTTTACTAAATTTCATTCTAAACTTCAGTGGTAGCGAATCTATTGCATTTGCGAATGGTAAAGTAAGGTTTGCAATTGAATTAGTGCTTGATAAATTATTTGCATGCATACTTTTCTTAGCTCTAGCTGCTGTAATTATCGCAACATACTGCTGATTTGCCATATCAGATATTTCTTGTGATTCTACATGTATATCTAGTAAATTTTTCTTAAATCTTTTAATGAATGCTTGTGCCTCTGAGAGTGGACGATGTGTGCAATTTGTCAATAGCATGTCATCATTCTGCTGACCTATAAGAACAACAGAACGGATGCTCTCGACTTCTTCTAGAGTGAAGGCCTGGAATATTGATGACATCCTTGACAAAAAACAACCGAATGTAATTCTATCAAATATTTGAATGAAGATTTTAGTTGATAAGAAAGCATATTTAATTTAAGGCTTCTAAGACTGATAAATGTAATCGCATTTGAATGTGGAGTAATTTCAATCTGTCATTTGTGTGGAGAAATATGTTCAAAGAATCAAATATATACGCGTTCTGGCATAATAGCATCTCAAAATATCTGAAATGGTTTAAAAATTGAAGTATTTTTAAAACATATAATGTATGGCCGCTACAAAACAAAAAACATGTTATTCACATCAAAATATCGAAAAAATTCAATTAAAAAAACTCAAGACTTTAACCACAAAAATGTGCTAAAGTCCAATAATATAGATATGTATAAGGGTATTGTAATATATCGATATTTAAAAAAAATAAAAGTTAGAAAGAGCGTGGGTGGCTGCCCTACCCGGTGCCCATCAAACAGTTGGGACGCTCACATTTAGAATTGGAGTGGCTTGAAGAACCAGGCCATCTTGTTGTTAAGATACTTCTGGCGGAGAACAGCGGCATACTCTGTAAGGAGAGCTTTCTTAGCTGGGGCATCCTTGAGAGCAGAAACAACCTTCTCGACGGAGATCTTCTTGAAGAAGTCTTCATCCTTGACATTGTGGCGTGTAAGCATAACGTGGTTGAAGTTGACGGCCTTAACAAAGAGTTTGACCTGTGTCTTCTTAACGAGGACTTCTGTTGGCATGTCCTTTGTGACCTTCTTTGGATACTTCTCGATACCCATAACGATAGCGTATGGGAACTTGCGATCCTCAGTGCCCTCTGGGTAAGCAGCAAGAACGACTGCCTTCTTGCCGGCATGGCGGCCCTGGAGCATAACAACGAAACGACCAGCTTGGAGGAGAGACATTTTGTAGAAAAGGTCCGACCAACGATTATTATCAATTCAAATTAGTGGTCAAATCTATTTCCCGCACGAATAGTTAGATTTGATTCATGAGGAGATATGAGTGAAATTCTATGGAGTTACTGTATCTAATACTTAGTTCTCTAAATGATATAATCTTTTATATAAGTTTATTAGATTTTGTCATCTCTGAATAATGGAATTATATTGTCAAGCAGCTATCTTAAGATTTGTCATACTTAAAATTAGTCTGATTATAATAATCAAATGTTCTTCCAAATTTTATATCTGATGATTCCTATCGATGTACTGTATATGAGAGTTTATGCTCATGGATGAGAGAATTTCCTCTGCAATTGGTTAGAAAGTTCATCGCATCAAAAGAAATTTGTTGAAACAATTGATATTATTCAAACCAAGTGGATGATTTAACACCATATGAAAGTGTATTCTTCTACTTGATACTTCCTAGAAATGTCAATATAAATAAAAAAAATCAGTAATTTTCATGATAAAGTACATATCATTTTAATATAAAGGGGGATAATATACAAAGTAAATATATAATAAAAGACGAGTAAAATAAAGAAATTATTGGATCGGCGGATAACAAACTTCTGAAATTGTGCTCATTGGATATTGTAAAATTCTTGAGTCACTAGTTTCCCAGAGGAACAAATGTCCGCAAATTCCCAAGCTGTTGATGATAATTTGAAATGACGACCTAGCTCGAGATCTCGGGACAAACAGTGCAAGTTTCTTAGTAAGAACGAAATTGTACGCCTTCATCTGTTTTCCATATCTTCCGTTTTTAGCTTCGTCCAGTAATTCTGTGTATGCCTTCTTAATAGAATCAAAATTGAACCATTCCATTTGTCTTTTATAAATTTGGAAAGGAATCTTTCTTCCCTGTAATATAGCATCGACAATTGGATGTTCATCATATGGAATATATTGGAAATGCTTATGCAGCTGGGAACATCCACTTTCTATTCCCGAGTTATAGTATGCAATTCCGTGTTCGTCGAATTCAGAGAATATATCTGCGAGGCAAGCGAAATCTCTGTCGTCTAATGGCTCTCCCTGCATATCTCGTGGATTGTCGGACGAAATAACGATGTGGCCGAACTTGACGAGGTCTTTGTTTGGAATTATGTAGTGGGCAGGGCCTCCCATCAGATGGATTACATTGACTTTTTCATTGTATGGCGGAGACAATGGGTCACTTTCGGCTTGCTTGGGTGGAGGAGGTGGACCGATGTATTTCTTTGGATTGTAGAAGTGAGAAATTACGTTTATTTTCATCAGATCACAAAGTTTTTGCTCTTTGTTTTCTTGAAAGAGAAATTCTGATGTTCCATTACGTAGGCCGTTCTTAACATTCCTCAAGATTGCATCGTGAAGAGATAAGCCCGATTTGGACATTCGATCACGGAAAATCTCAATCATTTTTTTTGGTTTTTCTTCTAAAAAAATTTTTTTTTCTTGACCCTGAAAAAAACATCGCCCTCTCAAATTTTTATCGCCGTGTAAAGTTTTCAAAAAATTATGTAACACATTGAAATTCACTGTAAAATCATCAATTTTTTCTGTAAACTATTCAATCGCTGCGAATTTGCATTATGTTTTTAATCGCTCTCAATCTTGACAGGAATGACGGGAGCACATCAGCGATATTCGGCATTCCTTCTGAGATTGATCCACTCTTTAACTTAGAATTAAAGTGCTTTGCAACTAATTCGAAATAATCTTTGAAGGAACCGGTCAAAAGTGCTTCTATCTGTAACATGATTGGTGATGGTAGTGACTCACTGAGCTTCATATTGCTTGCTGCATTGAACAGAGTGTAGAACAAAATGGCTCCGACCGTATGACTTTCGGATGTAAGCGGCCAAGCCCTCATCCACTCGTACATGAAGTTGAACGAGTTCCTTATGGCCTCTAGTTTCTCTGATGGCTTGCCAAGTGATAGCAATGCCGTTGTCCAAGCTAAATGAACTTTCGACATCGCGTTGTTCCAATGCTCTTGGGTATTCGGCACCACGAAACCGAATTCCATGGTATTCTCTTTAGTTTTCCTCATGAAAATTTCGGCATTCGACGTTTTACACTTTACACATATATTCGATCTCAAAATTTTCCACAATTCTTCAGTACTCTGCGCGTTATTAATTTTTTCATCGCTCGAACCGATACCGTCCTTCAAAGCTTGAAGCACACGAATGTAAATCATCACCATCTCTGTATGGAAGCCTCCTCTCTGCAAAAATGCAGGCTGCACAGCATTGGGAACAAGGCACCTCCAGAATATTGGTGATAATGGATCGTAAAGTCGTATATAATTCGCGATACAAGAAACAGCTGAAGAAAGAGGGACAGCTACACCATCATCGATGTACTTCTGTAATATCTGTCGTATTTCTATACATGCCATGCCCAAGGCAGATGCCTGCCGCTCACTCGGGGCGTGGGCCAAAATTATTTTTCCGATTGGAACCGACAACCTCGCCATTGTCGAGGCCCTCGGGTCGTTTGTATGTTTTGCTACGTAATTCTGTGAGTTGTCTGCTGATAAAGTCAAAATCGCGTTTGAAATTTCGTTTGGAGAAGGATTTGGAGAACACCAAAGCCTTTGTATCTGGGACGATATGTCTAATGATAGCGGTGCTGTCGTAATTTTTTCATCGAATTTTACTAATGAGTTGATTAATTCTGAAATACAGATGGATTCGCGTGAGATTTGTTGTTGAATAGTAGGAAATGAATACTCTGAGTTTAATAAGCTGCATATGTCTGTGTAGTATTGAGGAGCGCCTGCTTCAATGAAATCATTGTACGCATCATCAATTTTTCCGCAGGCAAAGTTGATTTTTCCTCGTATAAGTAGGCTGTCCTCTTCGTTATTGAGCACAGCAGCATCTAACAAGCGTATGGCTTCGTCATATCTGTGGGCACTCCACATTAACTGAGCCTGTGGAGCAAAACAGCAAACACCACCGGCAACAGCGATCCTTGCGGCTGCCATAGATGATTCTAGCTCGTTGCATTTCAATGCTGAAGTAGATAATTTTTTCATATATTCTAATTTCGTTGTGTTTTGGCGCTGAGCTTTTTGGTAATCGTTTGCTGCATTCCTGTATAATCCAATTTGCTCGTATATTTTCCCTCTTGCAGCATAACATTCCGCTGAAGAAGGATTTTGTTCAATAGCTTCAGTTGCAATACATAAACTTTTAATTGCACTGTTGTATTTTTGTGAATCAGTAGTTTTGTAGTTATAATTCTGTCCTTGATCCGTTTGTTCGGATAAAAAATCGAGTGCAAGTTTCGTATTTTCTAGAGCTATTTCTGTTTGAGGATGTCCAGGATTTTGTAAGAGGAATATTTCGTATAATGACACTGCCTTGGCATATTGTTTTGAATTAAGAGCTTCATTTCCCTTAATAATTAAATCCACATCGCTCATCAATGTCACTTTTTCAAAAATCTACAGATATCTGTATCTAAGCAAATTTCATGGATAAATAAATTATACATCTTCTTTTGAGTGTAAAAAACTTATTTAGGAAATTCCAAAATTTTTTTATTTTTTCTTTTTTGAAATAAAAATTGTACTTTTTTTCAATTAAAATCGGGAAAATGAGATTTTTTTGGAGATTTTGCGTATAAAATTGATCGATAAAAAGCTTTATTTAATGAAATAAAACTATTGCTGCATAGAATCATCTAAAATATTACAATTTTCTGGGATGAATTTTTTAAATTTACTAGATTAAGACTTTAAATTAAGTTGAACAATGATGAATTAAGCAAAAACTGCATTTAATATTAAAATAATTAAAATGCTGATGAAAATTTAGCAATTCTTTATTATTATATCATGTTTGATAAAACAAACTGTTAGGAAATGTTATAATCTAATGCAAGTCACAGTTATTAGCCCATTTCATGAGTGACCAGTATTCAATTTTGGTAATTTTTTTGGTAAAAAATGGATGATTACGGTGTAGAAGAGAATGAACAGTATGAAAGGGAGCAACTTCAGACAAAGGAAGAGATAAAACAAGTAATCAATCCTAAATCTGCCTTAAATCATGAACTAATTGAAGCAAAATTTAAAAATATCCTTGAATCTTATTCTAACAATAGCTATAACCAGAATTTCGAAGAATTTAATCAATCATTTGATTTCTTACGTACAAATATTAGGCCAGGTATGGAGAAAAGGCTTTTAAATACAAAAATTGATTTCGATTTTTTACTTTTAATGTTAGATTTTATTGATGGAGATATAGAATCGTTAAAGTATACAGGAATAACAATGATTTCTAAGTTGTGCTTCTATTTGAATCCTTTCTTTAACGATGAATTGCGAAATAGATTTATTCAATCAGTAAAGCCTCTATTCAATATATCTCATGACTTTACAGTATCATCATTATGCGCAATTTCGAATTTAATTGATTTAGAAGAAAATTCAGCAGATTCTTACTTTGAACTTAAAGATTTCATCATAAATTCATGCTCAGATAAACCAATAGAGAACGAATACCAACTCTTTACAATTAAAAACCTCGTTCTTCATTGTTCTCCTAATTTAATCGATTATCCTTCATTTTATCCATTTTTAATCCATCATATCATACCAGCAGATACAGAAACAGGTGACTTCCCATCAGTAACGACTTACGCAATCTATTCTATCTTCTATTCCCTGAAAACAGAAGATTCAATTAATTTTTTGCAAAATACCATCTTCCCTGCATTTGTCAATGATCTCTTGGCCAACTCCGACATCCAAGTACTGTACGCATTACTCGGAATTCTCATAAAAAGCAAAGAACTTGCAAAATGCGTTGATTTCAACAGAATCCTTAAATTACTACACCATGCAAGGCGAGAGCTCAGTTCCAGGGCCTCCTTCCTGATGTCCTTGTTCATTGACGATGGAATTGATTACGATCCTTCAGAATATCTCGAAATTGTCATCGAACTAGTTATGAGCAGCAAATCATCTTACGAAGACTTTGTTTCTTATACGAAACTGTTGGCATCTATGTTCGGAAAGTGCACAAACAGCATACTTTTGCAGTTGAATAGTATTCGCGAGTTTGTTGAGTACTCTCTGTCAATCATTCAGTCAGGAAACTCAGAACTGTCCATTCCTCTGCTGAAATGCCTGACGTATCTGCACCAGGCAGTCATTTCCTACAACATGTTGACTTATTTCCACTCAATTCTCGATGACTGCGACTGTCCTCAGATTCTGAGAGACTGTTCCGAGCCAGAAAACAAAGAATTGTCTGTTGTTCTCAATAATTTTATTGAAAATTTGGAACATAACGGATATCCCATCTTCAATGACTAGAGTGTATATTGTATTTATAAAGTGTTTGTTATTTTTTATCTTTTTCCTTTTTTATGAAATATAATTCTTGATTTTTTTTGGTTTCTTCCAATTTTAGTTATTCATATAAACTAACATGACTAGTTGAATACTAGATAAACACATTCATTTGATGAGATTGATTAGAACTTCATTAGATAATGAGCTTTTGGTATAAGAGTTAGTTAGTATCATTGACTTACTACTGTAGTGATGAACAACTATGTAATACAATATTGAATCAGAGATTCTATATAAGAATTTTGAAACTTCGATGTAATCTAATAAAAATCTATCCCATTGATCTAAATTTACAAATACCAATATACCATAGGCTGTATTTGAGTATTAAAGCAAGTAACGTTTCCATTTTTTAATTCAAAGTTTAAAACTAGGTAGAATCCAATTCATCACGAAATATTTACAGTTAAATTAGCCAGATAATCTTATTCCCAACATTAGATTTATTTTTTTTGAATAAATTTTCTAGAAACACTCTTCCAATCCGTACAATTTTATAAAATTTTATGTCAACAGACAATTTAAGCTCTACTCTATGGGTTGTGCTGAATTTGATTTTTTTCCTCATTTTCTCCAGATGCAAAATCTGAGCGCATCCCAGAAAGCAGCTCAGATTTCACGTCTTCGACTGGAGGTTGAAAGGATTCGTGCCAGAAATCTTTTAGCTCTCCAGGAGATAGATATAATGGATGATTGGCTGTATGATTCCGCTGAATTAATTGATAAATTCTTTAATGAAAGCGATTCATCAGATTCAGACTCTAGCAGTAGCGGAAGTAGTGATGATGATTCATCCAATTCAGAATATTCTTCAAATGAGCCACCAGAAGACAGCGCGTATCAAAATAAAAAACATTCTCATAAAGCAACAGAAAAAACTAAGGCTACACAACCACCATCAAAGAACATACCTCCTAAAGCAGCAATTAAGCCGCCAGCGTTTCCAACACCGCAAACAGCAAAAATCCAACTTCCAATTCCAACTAGACCATTACTTACTCCAGACCAATTGAAAGTAATATTTTCTAATCCAGAATTGATGGCACGTTATTTCACAAAAGAGCAAATTCAAATGATTCAAAAAAATCAACAGCCAATCAACGCAAAACTCGTTATTCCACCAGCCGCAGCACACACTATACCAATCACACAACAAAAGCCTATCATTGTTATTCAAAAAGGACCTCAATTTCCAAAACCGCCTCCAAAACCTGTTCCTCAACCAGCTCCTGCTCCAGTTAACATTCCTCCGAGAATTGATGTCATACCAATTGTTGTTCCACTACCACAATCGCTTATTTTACCGAATAAAATTGAAAATCAGATTCTTCCTCCGGATTCATCAATTATTAGAAGATATAATGGAGTATACAATGCAATACGCCAAAGCCAAGGCAATGTTGAAAAAATTTATTCTCTTCTCCTCAAAGGGAAATGATATAAGTTTAATAAAGTTTGTTTGTCAATTTAAATTTATTTATTTCGTTTTTTAAGACTGTTGAATTATAGAAATTTGAATTTGAGTTTAAGAACATTTGAGATTTTTTATTGATTTTGAAATATTTTTATTGTTAACTAAACAGGATGTTAGTAAACATATTAGATCTCATTTTTCTGATTGTGTGGGATTCAGATGTAAATTTTCTAAAGAAATTTTATTCAAAGAAACAAAAGTTTGAATGGAAAACATTCTGTATTCTCTTAATTCTGATTCGGGATGTTTTATAACTATCATCAAATGATGTTTGTAGAAATCAAAACAAAATAATGAAAAAAGTTTTTAAAATACCAATCTTTATAAAATATAAAAAGTATATCTAAAACAAACAAATTTCATAAAAATGAAATTAAACTATAAAAATATAAATATAAAAATTATAATTTGTATATTGTAACTATTCCGTTCTTAGATGCGATGTAAAGGGATTCAGAAGAAGAATCGTATTTCATTGACGTAATTGCAGAATCACATCGAACAGCGCATTCAATTAGTCTCATGTTGTAAGCCTTGTACAAACAAACAGAATGATCTTGGCCAGCGACAGCAATGATTGTTGTTCCGTCAATCTTAACACACACTTGAACACAGACACACGAAATGGAGTCATCGAAGAACTTGGAACCATTGATAGTGTACAAACTCACGTATTCTCCACAGACACTGTCAGACATGTGTCCTGAAATAACTGCGATGATTCCGTTGTCTCCGATTGAAACTTGCTGTGCAACTAAACCTTCTTCAGGAAGATTCAAGTCAACGCTTCTGATGAATTTAAGCGGATTGACTGTAGAAATGACAAGTTTTCCATCATTTCCACATGTGACAACTGCGTTTTGTGTTAAGTTGCTGTCGAGACACAAAACATGCTCTGGATGACACATGACACTTCTTTGTGAGTTCCATTCAACCAAAAGACCATCTAAACCACCACTGAACAAGTAATCACCACAAGTGCAGATACACGTGATGCTGTCGATGTGGCATGTGTTTCTCAATTGCGTTTGCTTCTTGTCACTCAACAAATAAATGCTTTTCGTGTCACTGCAGAGACAAGCGAAGAGAATCGAATTGTTTGAGATCGAAGGAGAAACACTTGAGAAATTGGGAGGAATTTTAGAAACTAAAGAGAGCTGTGAACTGACTTGGAACAATTCTCCATTGTTTGACAAGATATAGATGTTAGAATTACTGAATGTAGCTGATTTTATGTCAGTGTTTGTCTTGTAAACAATGATTGATGGCTTTGATTTCTTCTTTGGCTGTCTGTTCGGGTGCTTCTCTTCAAACAATCTGTGTGGAATGACGCCGATGTTCATGAGCATTGATTCTATTTCTGGGATACAGTCTGGATCGGCCAGCCTTTCCCAGACATCTTCGTACAAACGAGGATCGAAAACATTGTCTTTATTTTCAGCGTTTTGTCCCCTCTGAGAATATCCCCAGATCAAATCAATCCAATCGCCAATGTGCGCTGAAACATAGTCGCTTTCGAGGGCTTCTCTGTTTAGAAGGACAAAACTTGCAGCAGAACTAGTGAAAGGAGGGAAAACAACGTCATCAACTACATCTCCAGTCATCATTTTTCCGAATTTGAATCTGTCAACATTCTGCAAAAATTCAGGGAAATAAAAGAACTCAGGAATTAATTCCTTGTAGTTATTCATGCATCCACTTGCGGAAACCCATGATGATTGCAGATTAGAAAACAGTCTTCCAGGGACATCGAAATGCCCGTCTTGTATTTCTATGTGACAAGTTGTGAATGGCTCCAATCTCAGCAGATAAAAGTAGATGTGGAATGGACAGGAGTAAGTGGATCTGTACAAAATATTCAAGTTGTCTGAGTTGTTTCTGTACAACTTCAACTTCTCAAGTCTTTCTTCATCCAATGCTCCAAGAGGTTTCGACAAATCTCTGTAGATTTCTGGGTTATTCAAATCAATATTTTTAGAAGCGTAATCCTTCAAAATCCATGGGAAAACAGGGTAGTTCTGCGTGTTGTTGAATGAACGACCACTCAACTGATTCAACCACATCAAATAAGTAAATGTCGAAATCTGGCGATTCAGCCATTTCTGTGTCAGACCCAGCGAACTTATTTCTGCAGAAGAATTCTTTGTCTGCACAAAAATTGCGTTTGGAAAATTGTTTGACGTAATGTACTTGATTGTTTGAGATCTGTCAGTGAAATTGGGGAAATGGAAGTAAAATGACTGCTTGTTCGCTGTGAATATCTCAATGGCGTTCGGTCTCTGGCAGACGCTCATCCAGAACAAGTAGCTGAGATCAGAGAAATTAATGACCAAATAACGATGGTCTTCACTTAGAAAAGTGAAGTGATCATGAAAAACGTAAAATGAACCATTAATTTTTGTGTTTGGTTTGTAGTTGACGCAAGGCGTGTTGAACTTAGAGTCGGAGAGAATTGGTGCTTCTTTGATCTTCCTTGATTCATGGTGGAAAACGAAATGCGATGGTAAAGAACTCTTTTCTTCTTCAGTTTCGTCGACATCGATTTTTGATGCTTCAGGATGACTTGAGAAATCTGTGTTTCTCGTGAGCAAATTCGGACAGAAGTCCTGGCCAATCAGTTTGCCTCGCTTGTAGTGCAGTTTGACTGTTGAAGAAAGAGATGGGTTGTTTGTGAATGTCATCTTTTGCCACAATCTTCTCCAAATGTGTTCTGCTTGTTTTCTGTTAAAAACAACTGAATAATTGGAGAAACACTTCTGGAGCTCTTTCATTGAGTCAATTGTCAACGGAATCAGCAAACTCGTGTATCTTTTCATCATTTCTTTAATGTAAGAATTGATTTCCATCAAATTCCTTTGAAGCCAGTTTGGTTTTCTCTGAGAAAAGTCGTTCACGAGTTTGAGGGATTCTTCCTTTTGCTTGTTTGACATGATATCTGCTTTGTACTGTTCAATTAGCTTCTGTGGATAAGAAATGTCTGTTCCAACAAACTTTTCAAGGAAGTTAAGTATCAAAAACATTTTAGGATCATCTTTTAATGTCGATTCTCCAACTTCTGAAAGAATTGGAGCGAAATTAGTAATGAGTTTGTGGCCGTCCATCATTCTGAAGAAAGAATACATCAAGTAATAGAATGTCTCGAAAGGAGGAATGCTTCTTTCAGTCAAAACAGCGTAAACACCATAGAGCAACTTCTTCGAAAAATCTTTGTAAATTGGTTTGTTTTCTTTGTTGTAATAAACAGAGAAATTGTAATCTAGATCTGTCTCTTTCTTCGTGTCAAGGATTTTGAGTAATATTGTGAACAAATTGTCTGATAAATCGTCTTTCGTTTGAGTTTGATTTTGAGATTCAGATTTTTCGTAAAAAATCGAATTTTCGAATTCTTTTTGTAGCAAATTCGAAGAATTGACTTCTCTGTGGAACAAAATTCCTTGTATCATTGAGTCTTCAATGGAAATCTGTATCTCATAGTCGTATTTCCGAATCATAAAATCGAAAAGTGAAGTCATAATATTTAACCTTATTTTTTCTAAGTCAGTTTTTGAAGAAAGAGAAATTACATCCAGAATTCCAATCATATTCTCAAAACATTCTTTGTTTTTGACGAGGAAAACAAATTCTTTGATTAAGTTTCTTCCTTTCGTTATCAAGAAATACAAAAATATTACAAAATCAAATTTTGACATCTTTTCCAAAATAAAATTAACATTATCGGGATTGTGCATCGATTTCTGGATGATGGAAATGGCGACATACAAAATGGAGTCAGGACAGAAATCAATGGAAATGATGCTAAACAAGAACGCATAATAATCTGTCAAAATTAAATCTTCATTTGACAAAATTTGACATAAATTTGTGTCATAACCGTAAGCTTTTGCAATGCAATAAGTCAAGAATGAGTTGTTTATGTCGTCCTCACCAGACAAGACTATTTCTGTATTCGAAATCAACGAGAAAACGGCCAATTTGTCAATATTTTCATTTCTTTTTCCATCGAAATAAATTTTCAGGAAATTTAATCTGACACTTTCATCTGGATGCATAAACATGCTGCAGAACTCGTCTTTGTCGTTAAGAACGACTTTGTTATTGAGGAGCTCTTTGAGTATCTGGTTTGTCAGAGTATAGTTCTTGCAGCAAATTAGGAAAATGAATAATGAATGTTGGTCAGATTCTTCAAAAACTAAATTGATCGAACGAATCAATAATTTCAAAATTTGATCAGTTAAATTTTCATCCAAAATATTTAACACATCATGGAGATATTTAAGAATTGTTGAGGTGCGCATGTACTCTATAAATATATTTGTATATGAATTGGATATCATTAAAATGTCTTGAATAATTGTAGTCTGAATATTTGTGTCACTTTTCTTCCATAAATTACAATTGAAAATTATACTTGAACAAAAACTTCTCCTGTAATCTTGTTTGTTCAATAAAGAAAAGATAACAATAAAAAGATGCCATAAGTCTCTGTTCAATGAATTTGGTGGAAGATCAGACAAAAAATACGAAATTACATCAAATGCATTGATGTCAAATAATTGAGAGGTTATAACCGCCGAATTATCGACCAATCTTGCGCAAATTTCTGTGAGATGTTTGAAGAGATCCAGAGAAATTGCGTCAGGGAGGTTTGACTGACCAAAGAGACTGACGATGAACTCAATTGCGTGAGAAGCTTCGAAGATCTTCATGAATCCGCAGAAGAAAGGCAAACCGAGGCCTCTGAAATCAACTTTCACTTCTCCTTTAGGCGTTGACAGGGAGAGTTGTGAGTTTGTGACATTGTTATTATTGAAAGCAAACAAAATTTTGGAGTTTTCCAGTGGAAAATTGTCAACATTGTTGTTGTCAAAAACATCTAAACATCTGAACGAAAAATTCTTCACTTGAACTGACGAAGAAGTTGTACTCAAACTCTTGAAAATCAGGTTAGTGTTGAATACAGTGTCTTCTGGAATAGACATCGGAATCAGTGGCATTGCACCGACGAACTTTCCATCGACGTAAACACACAAAACATTTCCTGTAGCGAAAACAATTGTCAAGTGGAAAAATTTCGAAAGTAAAATTTCAGCAGGGAGATAGTTTTGATAAACTTCTCCTTTGTCATCCAATGTGCACACTGATATATTCCCTTTGTCCAAAATGGCAACAATTCGAACAACTCCGTTTCCTAACTCAAACAAGGTTCTTTCTCCTAGTTTGTCATCGACCAAAATAAAACTGTCAAAAATAAAACCGTTTTTGATATCACTGTAATTTATGTTTGGACTTCTGATGCATGAGAGTGGAGAACTCAGCTGAATTACCTCTGTCTGTTCGTTGTTGTTTGTCTTCTTGAGGATGTTCAACAGAGTGCAAATTGAAGGGAAAATAAATTTGTTCAAATTCGTGTTACTTTCGAATTTCGAAAAATGTCGAATAAAAGCAAACAAAGATGACTTTGAGCATATTGTTTCGCTGATCAACTCAAACAATTTCAAGCTCTTCTCGTAATTTTCTTCGGTGAAGTGATCAAATATAAAAGTGACAACTCCTCCGACCAAACAGCTACATCTATTGCAAGCAGATGTCTGGCAGATCTTCAGCAAGTCATCGAGAACCATGTTGTATCTTTCTTTCCCTTTGAAACAGTGCAACAACAGTTTTATCGATTCCGGTTGAGAAATTTTTGAAAAAGAGTCAGAAGAACCAGAAACAATTCTCATTATGTACTTGTACGTTTCGTCATCTACACCAATTTGGTTAAGTTGAGTTCCAATGGCTCCATATGGAACATTCTTGGGATTAAAGTGAGGTGAAAATTGTAAACTAAACAAAATTTGCAAAAACGTATCAAAAATATATTTTTTGTCTTTTGTTGGCGACATTTTAATAGCTATTGAACAAATGTCAGCTAGTATACTTGAGCATATGATCATTTTGGACATCATCAAGTTCTTATCTTTAAGCAATCTATGAAACAACACCAAAATTTTGTGGAACAAGTCTTCAGAATTTTTAGAATTCATCATCGGAGACAAACTCAGTAAAACTTGGTGCAAAGCCGATGAAATGTTGTTCAGTTTGTCATCATCTGTTGCATGCGAAATCAAATTCCTCAAATCTTTCAGTGTCTGTTGCGAAAAACTGTTCTCAAACACGATAGAAGACAAAGCCAAACAAGAATAAGATGATTTCTCAATCAACTGCAAGTTCCTTGTTGTTCTGAGAATATTAGAAAGCGCCGAAAACATATGAGGTCTATACATCGAAGAGAGTTTTTCTCCGAAAATGTGTCGATGCTGGCCAATGACGATTGATTCCAAGATTACATCCATCAAATCATCATCAATATTGTTTATAGAGTAGATGCTGTTCAATGAAGGGAGTGTCATTATCAGTATTTCGCAGAAAACCAATGTTTCTTGTGTCAAACTCCTCATCACATCGAGAAGAGATTTCCTGATTTGCAGCAAAACATCATCATTCTTCATCAGAATTGATAGAATCTCGTACAAAGTACATCTCAGTGAAACAATGTCTGATTTGGGAGAGGTAAATATGTTCGTTCTCTGTGAGTAAAATGATGGATTGATCAACAATCGCCAATAATTATTTTCTGTCATGTAATTTGTAAATTCAGAAATTTTTGACGGATTGAATGAAATTAAGAAGTATAAAACAACAATGAAATAAAGTTTATCGCTTGATGAGAGCTGCTGGATGACGAATGATGCCATTTTGATGAAGTTTTGGCTGTTTCCAAAGATTGGCGACCTTGATAATAAGTTGGAAATGATGACTAATGGGTGGTTGATCATGTGCTCGACTTCTAGAAATGAAAATAGATGCATTTCGCCGTTATCGGATGATGGATGCTCTGGGATGTTATGAAATCCTAATATGGGGGTGTTTGGCATAACAATTAAATTTGATTGTAAATTTTCTTCGGGTTTAATGAAAGATGGTGGTTTGTCGGCTATAGTATTAACAATATCTATTAACAAGTTGATGTTGAGGCTGTTTTTCATGAGGACTTGCATGATTTTGAATATTGAAATGATTAATTCTCTTTCTGTAAGTGATTTATTGCACAAAACTACGTACAAAATTGATAGCTGCTTGGTCATATCCTTCTTAACGATTTGATCAGCTAAAAAAATGACAAAACTGTTTATAAATGAACTTAGGGTGAATTGTTCGTTAACTTGATATTCAATATTGGGATTTTCGAGTAAGTTAAGTGCGACTTTGAATGCTAAGTAGCTGTTATTTTGAGAAATTATTTGATAATCAGCTAAAATATTTGTTAATGGTGAAATGAATTCTATTTTTGGTGATGTTTCGATCTTTTTAAGCCACAACTCGATAAATTTTGATTGTAAATCCGCATATTTTGATAAAAATTTAAAACTATAATTTAAACAAGATATCGTATTGAAATATTCTTGGAGTTTAATTTCTTCTAGGGGAGTGAGTAATATGTATGTTGCAGATCGAAAAATTAAGATTGAATAAAAATTTTGAAATTTTTCTTCGAGTTTTTCGTGAATTTTTAAAGAAATACATTGTAAAAGGGCTATTCTTATATCTTGTGTAAGTGATAGTTGCTTTGCCTTATCATTTACTGACTTAATTTTCGTACTTTGTAAATCAAATTCTTCGTTAGGAATCAAAGATCGACATTCTTCATCAATAGATGATCTTAGATCCTCTAGGGGAATCTTATATATGGAATTCAATAGAGTTGCCTCATCAGACTTGAAAAAATCACGCAAAAACATCATTTTTTGTCAAAAAAGAAATTCAGATAAAAGTTTTACTCAAACTAATACAAAAGGGATCTTCACGGATTAAAGATATAAGTCAGCTTAAAATCATGCCAAAACCGAAACACACAAAATCAAACCAAAGTTGGTTAGATGCAAAACTGGCTGTAAAATTTTGTCCTGACATATGCATGAACGAATGACATATCAGAATACTGAGTTAAGAGTTTTGATTTCAGATCCATCAAATGATTGCTATTACATGGAAGATAATTCAAATTTGCTACAAAACAATGAAGTGTGTAGAAGTTATCTCATTATGAATGATTATTTTCGAATTTAGTATAATTTTCCAAACAATAATGTATTTTTTTGCAGTATTATACTGCATTTATATCACCTATAAGAAATTTATGAAGAATGACATCTTCTTGTCAGATGAATGTAAAATAAATTTCATGAATGATCTTGAATACACTGAAGATATCAAAACATATAATCTTCAGTGGCACAATTATTCATACAAATTTAGATGGTTTTATACGCCCCATAGGATATTAACTTGTTTTTTGATTTTCGTATCATTATTATATTTTTTAACAAAAGATATTAACAAAAGAATCATTGCGATGGTAATAATGACTACAATCATACTCGCTACTATCCTTCAAGACGGAAATCTAATCAGACCACATCCTTTCATATGGCGAATTTTACTTGCCTTATCTATTGAAGCAATAATATTTGCATTCTTTTTATGTACTATCGATAGAAAAGTGATTATGGAAAATATAATCGCTTTAACACCTGGAAAATCCGGAAATTTTACCTTAGATCGCGATTATTCACAAGGATGTACGATATACAATAGAAGAAACGTAATTGATCCGTTTCATAATGTCAAACCCGTCATATTTGATATCTTTATTCCTGCACATTTTTTCGGCTGGATTTTTCAAGCATTAATTCTACGTAGCTATTCACTTTGCTGGATTGTTAGTATCTCTTTTGAAGTTTGCGAAAGATTACTAAAGCAATGGTTTCCAAATTTCAACGAATGCTGGTGGGATAGTTTAATATTAGATATTTTATTATGCAATGGCCTCGGCATATACATTGGAATGAAGATTGCCAGATATTTTAACTTAGTCTCATGGGAAAAAAGAAAATATGAAGATATTCCAGTCAGTGGAAAGATTGTTCGTCTTTTGAAGCAAATGACGCCGAGGTCATACGAGATATTCGAATTCCATCCATTATCTTCAATGAAGAAGTACTTTGTATTTGTTTTTATCATTTGTATACATTTATTATTGGAATTGAATATTTTTGCAATCAAAATGGTTCTTCCCATGTCCCCAGATAATCCTATAGTTATATGGATTATGTTCTTCCATTTAATAATTGGAATCCCCGCGATTTTTGATTTTTATTTGTATTCTATCAATGAAAGGGATTCAATTGGGTCATTCGGATTTGTTTGTACTTTACTTGCTTTAGTAGAAGTTGCTTTGGTGCTTCATTGTTCAGAAGGTTACTTTACCGAGAAGATTCCAAAAACAACTATGATTTGCTTCATATTAATAGTTTCTATTGTTACAATTTTCCCAATTGTATGGTTTAAGATACTCAGAAAAGGTTCATTCAAAGAAAAAACAGATTGATTTTTATTTGTTTTAATTTTTGTTTGTTATTTATATAATATAATTTTTTGATATAATTAGCTTGATCTCAATCATTACATCATATCACTCAACAGATTATTTAATTTTTTTATTCTCAACAAATTAATTAAGGTGCTTCCTGTTTGACTGCAATAGCAGAAAACTGTTCTCTATAAATTCTAGGGCTAGAAATTTAATCTACAAATTTGTTGGAAATATAAAGGCCAGAAAGACAAAATATATTATCAACATTATACATTATAACCATTGATATTTCGCACAAAGAAAAATCAAGGTCATTGGTTGACCTTTAGAAATAATCAACAAAATGGAAAGTGGTGTCGATGATTTTCTTTGAAAGCTTACAAAATAACAATGATGAGATAGAGGAAGGTTTCAGAATAAATTTTTATATGAAAAGCATTTGATAATGTTATTAGATTGTAACTACTCATTTCTTAAAAGAGTTCGCGAAATAATAAAAATTTTGGTTTTTATTTAAATGAAATGGCAAAATCTTAATTCAGAAGATAACCATTTTGGAATGGGTTTACCTTCGCGAATAAGTTGATTCTTATAATTCTTGAGAGACATGCATCTCATTTGATGTTGAACTGCAAAAGGTACAATTTCAAGATTAGGCTTAGCTCTTGGTAGCTTTTTGACTGCTTTTTGATGCTTCCTTAGTTCTTCCTCTAATTTGGATATTCTATAACGAAAACCGATTTTATCAAAATAATCATGGGCATCATTTGATTTAAATAATGGAGATCGATGAGATTCCCACAGCTCCTTTGCACCCAAATACATACGCCATGCTGGCGTATCATAAATAGAATAAGTTTTAGGAATAATTAATGTAAGAATATTGCTGTCCTCTTCTTCTGACTCTTCGGCGTTGCTGTGGTAACCTAAACCGATCTTGCCCCATGGTGAGTGATATGTAAGATCAAATCCCCAGTTGTCATCATCTGTCTCTTCGTTGATGAATCTCCTAACTGCAATGAGTGGAAACATCAAAAATAATGATTTTGTAAATCAAACAATTCTGTGAATCTCAATTTTAATTGGTCATGAAAATCTGATACAAATATTATCATGAATATGAACATGAAATTCATAGGAAAAATAGTTAATATCTGATAAGATATAGTTTTTAACAAATTTTGAAACCATCACAATTTTAAAAATCCGTTATGTCAGAAATTTTGTCAGATGTGATTTTTTAATGATTTCGTGCTCAATATGACCTAATAAAATATTTAATTTTGAATAGGCAATAAATGATTGTCAAGTTGACGTCAAATCTGACATTATGTCTGAGCCAATATTAAAATCTCAACCACTCGTAGCCAATTTCGAGAACCTCTGGGAACCAGTCTAACGAATATGATAAAAACAATAGATAGAGTTTTGAAATATTAAAATAAAAAAATAAGGGATATTATGAAATAATATTCAAGGTTAATATCAAAATGACAACACTAATCATTTATATAGATTATATTCCTATTTTGAGATCATAAAATCATTTTCATAATATTATAAGTTTTACTGGATTTCATATATTCAAAAGAATATAAAAATGCAATAACATGTCATAATGAGAAAGATAATAAATACATGTTTATAATAGATTAGGTGATAAAATTTATAAAATTTATTTCAAGAGGTTTATAAACAACTTCCACTTTTATTATATTACATCTATTTTTTTTTCATCTAAAGACTCTCAATTTTTCTATGAGTTGCCTCAAAAAAAAGTCGGCACGAAAAATTTGATTCTTTTGATCTTCAAAATTATTGGAATTGAATTTTGTAAAATTTTATTTCGTAATTTTTCAAAACTCAGTATCTGATCCATTTTGTTTAATTTTGATTTTATTTTCATCAAATTCATATAATGGTCATACTATATGTATTTTTAAAATCGGAAAACATCCAATATTCAAGGATTTGGCAAAATGCCGAAATTACCCTGCGCTAAAGTAAGTGAGAAAGGCCATACTTTTATTATTAATATATTGAAATTACATAATGTAGATATGTAAAATGCTATTTAAAAATTTCTTAAATTTATTTTCTAATTTGCAAAAACTCAAGGATTTACTTATACACTCATATTTTTCATATCATTAAAATGAATATTTACAAAATTAAAACCCGATATATAAGATATCTGGGGTGATTTTGCATCATGAAATAACAACGATAGGGGAAGTTTGGTCTTTGACGCAACCTTAATTTTTGCATTACAGATCTCAAAACACCTTTTTCAGTCTTCTTCAAACCTTATCAAGCTTATTAATATACTTAAGAATTGCAACAGTAATTTTTGTTCAGCCGAATTTTACTCAGAAATTTTGAAGATTTAGCCGCTAACGGATTTCTATATCTTTAAGATTTATAAACATAAAATATTAAGAATAATCATTGGACTTGAATGTAAAATCAATCAGAATTTTTTGAATGTATTGCCTATCAAGATTAATTAGCTTATTATATTTTATTTAACCTATTTTTTTTTTAAAAAAAACGAGAAAATTTTGAGAGGTTTTTCTGTAGAATTTTCTTGAGTCGTAGAACATTCCCCTTTTAATGGCGTATCAAGTTAAAGTTCAACGCTTTGTTCTAAGGGGAATCTTTGTCACAATTGTAGCTATATTGACCTTTGGTGCTTTTGCAGCTCTGGCTTATACTACTGCGATTTATTTCCTTCAACAAACACATAAAACATCTTCGAAAATCTTTATAGTTGGCCTAGTACTTGCAATTGTCCTAACAATCATAACGATCCTTAATTTAGTTGTGACTTGGATAAATAAATACTGTTTAGCAATATTAACATTCGTTTTATCACTGATATCGTTCTTTATTGCCGTTTTCTATATTGTTATCTTCATGACACCTTGCATATCAGTTGTCTATTCCGCAATAAAGGCATTTTACAATTCAGAATCAGCAGCACCACTTTACGCGAAGTTCGAATCAGTTTTAGATTGCAAGGGCTATGAGCTCACTGCAGATATGCCTCCAGATACATACGTTTGCAAAGAGGCCGTAAAAAAGTTTTTCGATAATAATACGGCTTACATTTACACATTCTTTATCTGCTTTGCTATTCTTACTGTCATTGCATTGTTCTTGTCAATCGATGCATTACATGTCCTTAAAGTTGCTTCTAGAGTTGAAGCAATGTCTGAATCCGGCGAATTGCAAGAAGATCCGACTGAACACGACGATCCAGAGAATCCAAAGTCAGATGACAAGCAACTAGCTGAGAATCCAAAAGAAAAGCGAAATAAAGTCGAACCGATAGAAGAAGCTGAAGGAAAGAGCGACGTAATCCAAGAAAAACCTGCACAGAAGAAGGTAACTCCAAAGAAGGAAACAGGAAAACTTTCAAATCCAAAGAAATCTCAGAAATCTGTTCAGGAAGTTTCCGATGAAGAACCAGAGCCACCAAAGAAGAAACCGGTCAAGAAACAACAAAAAGTCGTAAAAATCTCTTCAGATGAGGAAGAATCAGATGAAGAACCAGAACCACCGAAGAAACCGGCCAAGAAGCAGAAAAAGCCTGTAGTATTTTCTTCTGACGAAGAATCAGAGCCTCCTAAGAAGAAGCCAGCTAAAAAGCAACAAAAAGTTGTAAAAATCTCATCAGATAAGGAAAATGAGGAAGAGGAAGAACAACCAGCACCAAAGAAAAAGAAGAATGTAATACAGAAAAAGCAAAAGCCGAAGAAAGTTGTTTCTGAATCAGAATCCGAAGAAACTGAAGAAACCGAAGAAGATCCAGTTCAGAAAAAGGCCAAACTGAACCAGAACAAATACGGAAGCATCGTTATTCCTCAGAGACCAGCAAAGAAGGCACAGAAAGTTGTTTCTGACGAAGATTACTATTCTGAAGAAGATTAACCAGCAAATACAAAGAATTCTTCAAACTAATTTAATTGTGAGTTATTAATTTATATTTTATTCTGTTTGACTAAAAATTTTTAAATGAAATATTGTTAAGCTAGTTACTTTATCAAAAATATAGAGCACACCATATCTATGATTCATATACTGTTAAGTATTATCTACAAAAGATTCAGATGATGGTCTTTTTTTGACTTTTATTCTTCTAATCTTCATGCTTATATAGATTTTTTAACTGTTTCAAAAATTTTTAAAGGGATGCTGAAGGATTAAAAGCAATTATCTCAAAACTTAAAATGAAAAATGAATGTTTGAACTCAGATCTCAAATATCTTAGTAAATAGGTGGTATATTATGAAAAAGTTATGAATTGTGTTATTACTCGCTTTGACAATGATGTTAGATAGGAAATTTAAAAAAATTATTTTTTTTTTTAACTTGTTTTGTCAAGGAAATAAGAATTATTTAACAGATTAAGTTTGACTTCATCTAATTATCTGCCGCATGTAAGATTCAGATATTTTTGTTCAATGGCAAAGTTGTTATTCATTTGAATCTTGTAAAAAGTAATCATTAATATGACATGTTAGTATGAAATTGCTATTATCATGAAAGAAGGGTAGTTTTGGTTTTGAGAATTTCATTTTCGAAGTTTGAATATTTTTGAATCGTATAAAAAACTGACCAAAACAGAGGTTAATCATCCAGAAATGAATTGTCGATAGGATTTTGATTTATTTTACGCTTTTCCGGACTTGATGTAAGATTTTTATTCAATTTTTTTGGTTCACTTGGAAATCTCTCAACCTCATTCAACGATACATCTGGAATGGGTCGCCTCGATGTAACTTTAATAACGCCAGGGGGCTGGAAACTCATTATTTGCCAAAAAAGTATTTTGATTACAATTAAAAAGTGACACCAATCATCGTTTCTTTTGGAAGTCAACCGCAAATCAAAAAAATGTTTCTTTCGCTTGTAAATACCGTTCTCTCAGCTGAGACGATTTATAAATCCTGCAGTATTAATAAAACCGGTGGTGTTGATATTGTGGATGGCAAAAATGACGCTTTAACAGCTTGGGCTTCTTGGGAAGATTCCATTGAAGAAGTTGGCTGGTATAAGTTCCATGTTCACACAAATCCAAAGCAACCAAGTGAAGACCAGTTCAGATGCGCTGGTGCTCTTGATGGATATCTTGGCCAACATAGAATTTACCAAAGATTACTTCTTTACAAAGATCAAATGAATATCAATCGTACAGTCAACTTCGACCAGAAGTGGGAAGACTGGATGGAAAAGAATCTCGAATGGACGCGTAACCAAGTTAAGGCAAACTCATCAGATCCATACTGGAAATCAGTTGGCCTCATTCTTAACCAGTTTGATGGCCTTGTTGAAGGATACAAACTTGCTGCACCAGTTTACGAACCCCTCAGAATGATGGATCTTTTGTTCATTCAATCTGTCGGCGATGTCTACGACCTTGAAACATACTGGTCCAAAGGCAAGATTTACGACGAGTTCCACCATCTTGAATGCACAGGCCTCATCACAATTACTCCAGATTTCAAGGAATTAATCTTTGGCCAAGCCGCATGGTCATCATTCCTTAAGATGCACCAAGTCCTCAAGGAGTACGAGATCAATGCACCAGAGCATCCAAACAAACACGTCATTATCTCTACAAGAATGGGCGCATTAGCCTCATCAGACGATTTCTGGCTCAACGACAACGGCCTCATGATTTTAGAGACCACAAACAACAATTTCAACCAGAGCTTATACGACAGAATTACTACCGAGTCTCTTCTTACCTGGATCAGAGTTCTCCATGCAACATGGTTCTCTACCAGCGGCAAGCAGTGGACAGAGGAGTTCATCAACCACAACTCCGGCACATACAACAACCAGTACGTCGTCGTTGACTCCAAGAAGTTCGTCAAAGGACAGAAGCCAACGACCGACCTCCTCTGGGTCATCGAGCAGCTTCCAGGCCAGTACAAATCCGCCGACTTGACAGATATCCTCGCAGAGCGCCGCTGGTTCCCGTCAATCAACGTTCCCTACTTCGAAGAGATCTTCAACACAGCCGGCTATCCACAGAAGATCAAAGACACGGGAGAGAAGGGAGACTACTACTCGTACTACAACAGCTCCAGATTCCTCATCTTCAACCGCAATGCTCCTAAAGTGAACAACACAGACGATTTCAAGAAACTCATCAGATACAACCACTACTTGACAGATGAGTACGGCCACAAGGACCCAGGACAGCAGCCACTCTCCAGATACGACCTCAGAGATGACACATGCATCTATGGAAAGGCCGCAGCATTTGGTGGCCTCGACACAAAGGTTACAACCTCTGACATGATGATGAAGAACTTGTCTATTTTCGCAATCGGCAGCCCAGAGCACGACACAAATGCTCCATGGAGTTTCGGAGAGGGCAAGTTCAAGGACATCAAGTACGACGGACTTCCGAAAGTATGGAATTTCTCATGGATAAACTACAGCGCTGACTCATACTCGAGGTGCGAGAATTTCGTACACGAAAAGGACTGCACAGCTGTAGAGAGATGCGGATGGTGCGCCTACGATTTGAGATGCTACTACGGAGCAAAGGACGGACCATACGACGCTGTCTGCGACGACGGATGGAGATACAAGGAACCAATGCCTGATTACGCAATCCCTGTAATCGCTTCTGTATCTTCTGCAATGTTCCTTATTGTAGTAGGAATTTACATTGCTGCTTTCATCTATTCTAGAAACAATAAATAAAAATAATAAAAAAGTATTAAATTATTAGTTATAAATTATATAATGTTTTTTTTTAACTGATCATAAACAAATCTTATAGTGTTATTTAAGTATCAATGATTAAACACAGATTATTTCAAATTACAAAAAGTAGTTAATTCAATGCCAACTGGTTTGTTTAACTGAATTTAGCGATCCAATGGAATTATGATATGATATTTTTTATTTCATAATTGACATGCAATGTTATTCCAATGTTCGAATTATATACTTAGAGCTAATATATACTAATGAAAATATCCTGCAAATCTCCTTGTTGGGTAGATTTGTATATGCATTTTCTTTCAAATTTCATAATACCTTAATTTTTCGGTTTTGTTTACATATTTTAATCTTATTTCTAACATTATTTTTCGAAAATATAATGTTTTTCTGCGAATGTGAGATCAAATTAACCTCTTTTTGCCAAAATAAATGGATCGATATTTAAAATCATCCAGCAATCTCATATAACAAATAAAATTGATCCGAAAGGAAATTTTGACATTTGGATTTTCAAAAAAAATTTTAAAATTAGAATGTTTACATAATTTTGAATATAAATTTTTCATTTTACAAACTTTTGATAGAGAGTTTATTTGAATTGTACTGAATTTTCTGAAGTTTACACATTCATTTTCGAGGTTAAAGCTACTTTCTACTTAATTTGTGAGCAAGTCTTGGCTCATAACTCAATAAATCATTTTTAACAATGGGATCAGCCAAAACATATCCTATGGAAGGCGATAAAGCTACTCCAGATCGCAAGAGACACTTTGTTTACTTCAAGATTATGAAATACTTTGACAGAAGATTGATTTTCTATATTGCTGCAGTATTCACAGTAATTGCTGGCATCGCTCCAGTTATCCTCAACATTTTCATGGGTGATTTAGCCAATGTTATGACCACAACAAACGAATTTAGTCATGAAGTTGGAAAGATCTGCATCAAGATCATCATATACTGCGTCTGTTACTCCGTGTTCATTGAACTCAAGGACATCATTGGCGGAAGCTCAGGTTCATGGTTCCAGACAGATATCAGGAAAAATTTATATAAGAAGTTGATGGCATTAGACATCTCATTCTTTGACTTGCATCAGACAGGTACATTGCTTAATAACTTCACATCAGACATTGCAGTACTTAATGAGACATATATTGCAAAATTCTTCCAAGTTTTTCAAAACGTTCTCCAGTCACTTGCAGGCTTAGTTCTTTCATTCGTCTACTCGTGGAGAGTCACTTTAATTGCTGTTTTCGCAATCTTCTTGTGTGTTATTGTTTATTACGTCGGAGAATACTTTGTTGGAAAACTCTGGCAGCATTTCAATCAAAGTGTTAGTGATGCATCAACAAAGGCAGAACAAGTAATCATGGCATTTCGCACTGTAAAATCCTTTGATAACGAGATGCTTGAAGCAGACAAATACCAGGAAAGCATCAACCAAATCAATTCTGTCTACAGCACAACATCAATTATCATTGGTGCAAAAGATGGATTCATCACAGCAATTGCACATTACATGCTAGTTGGAGTTATTTACTTCACAACATGGATGATTGTTCGCCGCCCACAATGGCATGTGGAGAATGGAGATCTCATGGTTTTAGTTCCTTCGCTTATCTTCGCAACACAAGGTGTTTCGACAGCATTGCAAATGGTTGATGATTTCAACAAAGCAAGAGTTTCTGCAGAAAGAGTTTTAGACATCTTAGAAGAGCCAATCGAAACTAACCAGAGAGAAGGAAAAGATTTTGAAAGTCCTGTAAAAGGAAAAATCGAATTCAGGAATGTTGTTTTCAGATATAAGACATGCGAGAATTACGCAATTAAGAATCTTTCATTCACTATTAACCCAGGAGAGACTGTTGCTCTTGTTGGTGAATCAGGATGCGGCAAATCAACAACATTGCAGTTGTTGCAGAGATTCTATGAAATTGAATCAGGACAGATTCTAGTTGATGATGTTGATATCAAGGATATTTCTGGATTTAATTTGAGAAAGAACATTTCAATAGTTCCACAATCCCCTGTTTTGTTCTCAATGAGTGTTAAAGATAATATTAGATATGCAAAGATGGAATCTAACGACAATGAAATTGCAGAAGCAGCAAAGATTGGAAATGCTCACGATTTCATCATGAAATTCCCAGATAATTACAAAACAGAAGTAGATATTACTTCTCTTTCAGGTGGCCAGAAACAAAGAATCTGCATCAGCAGAGCTATCCTAATGAACGCTCCAATCTTGCTTCTCGATGAAGCAACAGCTGCTCTGGATACAGAGTCTGAGAAATTGGTCCAGGAATCTCTTGAAAAAGTTAGAAAAGGAAAAACTGCTGTTGTTGTCGCTCACAGATTGGCAACAGTTATCAACGCCGATAGAATTCTTGTGTTTAAGGATGGAGCTATCGTAGAAAGTGGTAAGCATGAAGAATTACTTGCTAAGAATGGTTATTATGCAGACCTTATTAAATACCAACTTCAATAAAAAATATTTGATAGATTTGAGTCAATTATATATATATTTTTAGAACATTTTTAATATATAAGATATAAAACAAAACTGAATAAGTATGAAGATCATTTCATCTTGGAACTTTATCAAAATTATTGAATTTTATTTTTGTATTTTTTAACTTACAGGAATATTTAAAGATTTTGATAAAAAAGATTTAAATAGTAGAAGTATATATAATATGAAATACATTTTATATAGATACTTAGTGCAATAAATGATTTGAATTCGAATTCTAAGAAAAAAGCATTTATCAAAATAGGATGCATAATCTTTGCATCATATATTCGAATTTATCCCTTATTCAAATAACAGTAGTCAGTTAGCTAAGTTAAAAACAAAAATTGCTTTATTGATAAGTGGAACTGCAATATATTTGGCAGCTAAAGCATTTGAAATATCTGGGTCCAACATATAGACTGCAAGTCTGCTTTCTATTCTCTTGCATTCAAACTGTTCGCATGTAAACTTAATAGGAACCCAAGCAGTTCCAGCAGCATTGAAATAATAGTTTACTTCATTGTTGAAGTTTGAGAAACCAAAGTCTAAGTCAACTTTGTCTTTGCAAAATTCGGCGAATGACGTTTGATTTGTTCCCTTTACGTCTGTAATAGTGAATGGGTCTTGTGTTGGTGCAATGACTAAGTTATTTTTGCTTGGAGTAAGTTCGATAGAAATTTTTCCTGCCCAGTTTGGCAAGTATCTTAAGAACCTAAAGATGAGGAAAGATGACAAAGGAACTCTAAGTTTCAGTTTTACTTTGGTTACTGCTGCTGCAGTTTGTCCAGAAAGGTTAACATAAACTCCTGGAACGTTAGGGTCAAGTCTTCTTATTTTCTCAATAGTTGCATACTGGTCTGTTTGTTCTCTAGCTTGTGGTTGTACTGAGTTTCTCAAAGCGAACCATTCATAGTTTGCCCATGTTACTGTTTGAACTAAGTCAGAGTTAGAATATATCTTATATCCCATGAAAACTTCTGGAGCATATTGGTATCCGACATAGAAAATTCCATTGCAACCTTTCTTGTCAGACAACTTGGCAGAAGGTTTTATTTCAATGTCTTGTTCCACGTATAAGAATGAGTTGTCAATAGAAATAATATGAAACCTGTCGCAAGCAATATCTACTGTTGTTGAAGAACCTTCTCCAAACTCACCTACGTTTCCATAAGAAACAGCAGTTGTATATTCGTAAGTTCCAGGAACTATTTCTGACCTTCTAATGGCATTGTCGCATTCGTTATACCATTCGGAAATATTTCCGTTCATGGCATCCAAAACTGTTGGCGTTATATTCTGAGCGGCGTACATTTCATATGGGTAAAAATATAGAATAGTTGGATTTATATGTCATAATAGAACCCACTCGGACCAAGCTTTACTTTCTTCCTGACTGAGTTTTTAACTGAATCTTTAACTCTTCTTTTTCCTTCATTGCCACTACTTTCACTAGATGAAGTTACTTCTTCACTACTTTCACTTTGTTCTACTCTTCTCTTCTTCTTTGGTGTCGCTTTTGGTAACTTGCCCTCTGCTTCAAGTTGTAGCATCTTTGCCTCATGTTCACCTAGTATGTTGTAAATTTCCCATGTCCTTTTTGCCTTTGGGCTCTGGTCGCCCATCTCAGGTAACCTATATCCTAGAAAGATTTTGTCATAGTTTGTATTTGAGTCTTCGCGTATTGTTTGCATGACTCTTTCCTGAGTTTCCGGTTCAAGCTCTTCAAACAGAGCTTGTCCATATGGAATAAACTCGTTTCCAAATATGTGTTTTTGTAGCCATTCTGGTTTTCTTTCCATGTAACCAATAATATCTTTTGTGAATGGGAAAGCTTTTACCCAACGTTTCAGTCTTGCGTCATTTATTTCTGTAGTTGGTTTTATTTTGTCATGGAACATGTTTTTCAATACTAACATTTCATTTGGTACTGTCCATTTGAGTTTTCTTAAATATTCATCCCTTCTCAGTTCATTGTCTGCAAAGTAAGTTTTTATGACATTTTGCAAACTTTCGTTTGCAAGGTCATGTACAATAGGTTCTCTTCCTTCTCTCTCCCTAACTTTCTTTCTAAACTCTTCACCAAATATACCATCTCTATGGTTCTGTGTAGTTCTTTGAGATAAATGTTCTAGAACGTCAGGTGTTATATTTCCCTCAGCCATGTTCATTTCATACTGGTCCAAAATATCTGCATCTTTCATATCTTTCAATGGCATTAAAGCCGCGCTGAAAATACCCGTTATATCTGGTTCACCATTCACTTCCATTGCGTCTACAACTTCTTGGAATTGAGGTTGTAAGTTTATGAACCACCTATCCGGATTAGCTTTATGACCCCATTTCATTGTAGTTCCATAGTCTGCAGAAACAAAAGTAGGTTTGTTTCCATATTGGTTAGGTTCTGAATGAACTTTAAACAATGTTTCATTTCTATATGTTTTGTTGAAATTTAACCTTTTATTTTCACCGAGTTCAGCCAAAGATTGAACGTTATATGGTCGTAAGTAAAAAGGATTATTGTATTTGCGTACATTTTCTTTCAGTACTTCCATTCTATGCTGAATATTTTCATCTGATGTTGGAGTCTTTTGTATGTCGGTGAACATTTTTCGATATCCTTCTACTATGTCAGCCGAATTTTTCTTAGACTCTTGGAAAGATTCCATATTCTCCTCATACTCTTGTTGAGGGTCAAGATTTTTCGGCTGTTCCAAATCTTCATCTAGTTCTGTGAAGTTAGTTTCCAAAGGAGGGACTTGTTCGTTTCCTTCAGGCTCTTCTAGCTGTTGTTGCTGAACTATTTCTTCCATGTCTGGTTGTATCTGAACTTCTTCCTGTGGAGTTTCTTGTACCTCATCTGGTGGCATTTCATATATTCCGAGACCGTTTTTAACAAGTTCCCTATCTAAGTCATCCGGACTCATAAACCTTTCTTCTTTCGTTCCGTCTCTATTTTTTACGCGTTTCATGAAGAGAGTTGAATTATCATTTAGCTCTGACATCAAATATCTCGGAGTAAATTCGTTCATGTCATTTGGATGATATGCTATTAAATCATATCCCTTAGCGAGCTTGTATTTTCCAGGTTTGAGATTATATCCAATTTGATGCTGAACCATAAAGCTAAATAGGTTCGGGTCAGTATTTCCTTCCTTGAACTTTCTAATAGCTTCTTTATATCTGTCACTAAAGTCAAGAGTATCTGGGTAACCATAATCTTCCTTAAGCATTTTTAAGAATTCTTGGTTTCCTTTTTCTCTACTTCTTTTATGTCCTTGCTCTGTTTGTGGTTGCTGTGCTGGTTGTGGAGGTGGTTGTTGTGCAGGGTTTTGAACTGCTAGTTGCTGTGTTGGTTGTTGTTGTGGTGCTGGATTTTGAACTGTTGGTTGCTGTGCAGGGTTTTGAACTGTTGGTTGCTGTGCTGGATTTTGAACTGTTGGTTTTGGTTGTTGTTGTGGTGCTGGATTTTGAACTGTTGGTTGTTGTGTTGGTTTTGGTGCATGCCTGTGTCTGTGTCCATGTGACGATGTAAATGTTTTAGGTAGTCCTGGTGCAGGTGCTTCTCTTGGAGGGTTTGGTGGTATATAAGTTCCACCAGCTGGCACATATGTTCCATCTGCAGCATAATGTCCTACCTGACTTTTCGTTTTTAAGAAAGCATTTACTAGGTCTGTTTTGGTCTGTTGTAACTCTTTTTCTTGACTTTCCACAACAGCTGCTCTAACGGCGTCATAGGCACTTTGAACTGCCTGTCTCGTTGCTGCATCTGTTATTTTCGTCATATTTTGTGCTACTTCTCTTAACTCTTTGTCGAAACCTTCAGACTTCAGTTTCTTTCCAGATGAGAAGTCGTTCACTAGTTTCACCTTACTATGAAGAGCTTCGAAGGCATTCTTAAAGTCAGCATTCATTAAAGCTTCATTTGAACTGTCTTCATCCGCTTGTATTTTTGTCCTTATTGACCCTATAAGTTGGGCTGCTTTAGCGTTGGCTTGGGCATCTAACCAGTCATTATTAGCTTTTATATATTCTGCGCTTTTCATTGCCTTTTGCATGGCTGCGTCGTTATTTTTACTTTCTTGTGCTAAGTTTTCATACTGTACGGTTTGGTTTTGCAACTGTAAAAGTTTTTCTGCCTTTACATTTGCTTCAACTTCTTTTTTATACTCATCGCTATCCATATATGTCTTCATGGCTTTTTGTTTTATCTCTTCATCTTTCAGTACTTTATATTGAGTAGTATGGTTTTTCAAATTTATAACATCTTGTTCCATTTTTGCTACTTCTGCTGCTTTTTCTGACACTTTTTTCGCATATTCCTCTGTACTTAGTTCTTTCAGTTGTTCTTCTTTCTTCTTTTTCTCTACGTTTAACTCATTTAGTTTCTTTGTCTGTCTGTCATATTCTAGTTTCTTTTCGTTTTCACTTATTTGTTTCTGTATGTCTATGTTTGACTTTTTGACATCTGTTATTTGATTTTTGAGTGAACTCAAATTCATTTGACTTTGAGGGTTATAAGCTGTTCCGTCTGCAGCTCCACCATAGCCTGCCATTTTCGCTAAAAGTGCCGCTCTTAAACCTCCACTCTGTGCACCAATAACTCGGTTTAAAAGCATAGGGTTGCTTGACATTTGTTGCAACATAGTGGGGTCATTCATCATTTGTTGTTGCAACTGTTGTTGTGGTGTCAGTTTTACTATTGGATGTTTCAATGCTCCCTTCCTCTTACGTATATTCTTACGTAGCTTACGTGGCATTTTAAGTGAAGTTAAAAAGCGGTTTTTGACAGATGTTTATATGACACTTTTTGTTCAGCACAAAAACTACTCGGTCAAAGTGTTGTCAGTTTTGTAAAATAACCGTCTTATCTCATTCTATAAGGGGGAAAAGGCTTCTCAAAGTATACTTCCTTGGAACGCCTGTAACTTTTCCTGTAGCGACGATAGACCCTTACTTGTCCGGACAAAGTTATA